GGGAGGGTGGGTGATTTCTGGTCATTAAGAAATTTTTTTTCTAGCAATCTGCTGTGCAGGATATTTTTTTCCGTCCTAAATGCTCTTTTTTTTTTCTGTTACATTTGGGCTGCATGCATTTTTTTTCTTCCAGCAAGCGCTTGCAGGATATGTTTTTCAAAATCACCCACCCACCCCTCAAGAGTTAAATGGTCGGCCCCTAAACTTTAAGACCTAGACCTGATAAACCTTTTCATCTCCATATGTATAGATATAACACTTGTATTCCATAAAAGACGTGACATTTCCGGTTCAAAATCTCCATCCCAGCCAGGCAAGGGTTCAAATTCCCCACCGGCTCCCGTGACGGACGACGGTCAAATGTCCGTGGGTTGCCAAGGGAGGTGGGGGAGATGTTAAAGCTCAATTGATCGACGTATTACAGGCGACATTTATATTGAAGTGAGAAAATACAGTACAATCAAATACCTGTTTGTGACTTGCTCTTCAGTGGAAAAATATACGATCTTGATACTTAAAGATAAAGTCTTCATGTGACTTCAGGCGTGGCTTTGTTTGTCTCAAAAGGAGTTAAAACAGAAGTGGTTTGAACACACTTTGAGTTATTGTAGACTCCTTGTTTGAGTAAATGACAGAGGAAAAAATGTAGTAACATAAGTAACTAGTGCATTCATTAGGCTCCGACTCCATACATCTGCACAAGGTTTAGTCCTAGGTGAGAGAAAGTTGCATCTTGACCACTAAGAACATGATCATCAATCGAAACTAGCAGCGACACAGGTTTGAGTCATCCAGATCATGAATTTTTGAAAGCTTAAAGGCTGCTGTAGTCAGTCGCTGTGACAAGGCACATGCAGACAGAAAAAAAGAGACAAATGCCAAGTTTGGACAATTAACTTTTCAACATCAACAGTGCGGCAATATTCAGGTCCATCAAGGTGTAACAGAGTCAGGAGCTACCGTGATACTATGAAATGGCCCTACGCATTTTTTTTTTAATTTAAGGGTCAGATATTTTTTCTGTTTACAGTGGCCCTTTTCAGTTTCTCAAAGCACCCCTACAGTGGGAAAGGATGTTGAACCTATCAAACAGAAATATTCAAATGAAAAGGCAATAACTCAGCTGGAAACCCAGCTTTGCTCAGTTTGTAACCATTTAGCATAATTATATAAATTACCAATTCTATCAGTCTCTAAGTAATAGTCCTTTTTACAGTTGTGTGCTTGGTTGCCAAGCCTTTGAATGGGAGTGAGGCTAGGGGTGACCTAGTTATGATACAAACCTTGCTGCCTTTCAAATGTAAATCACTTTGTTGTCATGCTAACTAGATACAGGTCTCTATCATGACAAGGTCACCTTCAGCCTCACTCCAAATCAAAGGCTTGGCAACTAAGTACACAACTGTAAAATGGCCTATTCACTAGATTGTTTATTCAGTTGATCAGTCGGCCAACACCCTAACCAGTCAGTCAGCCAGCCAACCAACCAGCTGGCTAGTCAGCCAGCCAGCCAATCATTTGGTCAGTCAGTAAGGCAGTGCACCTGTTGCGCAGTCCATCAGTCAGAAAGTCAGTTATTCAATCAGTCAGCCAGTACACCAGTAAGCAAGTTGGTGTATCTGTTTGCCAATCAGTTCACCAGTACAACAGTTAGTCAAAGGAATAAAGGGGGTAGGTTTCTGAAGAAACTGTTGTGCTGTGTCACTAGGATAACAAAGTAATTTTGGCTTTATCAACTGAGTTGATAATGTAAATTAGCCACTGTAAAGAGCTTCAAAGCTGATGTTTTGAGCATTATCCGTTTGTCTTGGTATTTTTCAATGCACAGCTTACAGAACAGCAGTCCATGCCAAGCTTGAAGAAACTCACAAAGGAGCTATGCCAGGAAATGGCACGTTATCTTTTTCCTTCTATTAGTAAAAATCTACCATTCTGTTTAGGCATTCTCACTTTCACTAATGCTTCTCATTCAACTGATTTATTCTTGTTTTTCTCGTTACCACATTCCCATCAATAGTGTAACTCCATTTACTGCATATAAAAACAAACAAAACCCCCAATTCCTCTATTCACTCTGACAAAGGGCTAGTGCTCAAACAGACAGTCAGTCCATCTGTTGGTCAATCACTCAGTTAATCAGTCAGCGAGTCCAAAACTTTCAGCAAGTCCATCTGTTTCTCAGTTAGTCAGTCAGTCAGTCAGTCAGTCACTGAGCCAGTGAACCAGTCAGCCAGTCCATTGGTTGGTAAGTCCATCTGTTTCTCAGTAAGTCAGCCACTCAGTCAAGCAATCAATCAATCAATCAATCAGTCAGCCAGTCCATTGGACATTAAGTCCACCTGTTTGTCAATTTGTCAGTCAGTCAATCAATTGATCAGTCAATCAGTCAGCCAGTCCAACATTCAATGTCCACCTGTTTCTCAGTCAGTCAGGCAGTCAGTCAATCAGTCAGTCAGTTAGTAAGTCTATCTGTTTGCCAATCAGTTTGTCAGTCAATCAGTCAGCCAGTCCAACATTCAATGAGTCCACCTGTTTCTCAGTCAGTCAGTCAGTCAGCCAGTCAGCCAGTCAATCAGTCAGTCAGTAAGTCTATCTGTTTGCCAATCAGTTTGTCAGTCTATCAGTCAGCCAGTTTACCCATCTGTATGTCAATGCATCTGTTGATCAATCAGTCAGTCAGTCAGTCAGTCAGTCAGAGAATCAGTCAGTCAGCCCCTCAGGCAGTTGGTCAATCAGTCAATTAGTCAGCCAGTCCACCAGTTAGCCACTCATTTGCTCAGTCAGTCAGTCAGTAAATCAGTGGATCTGTTGGTCAGTCAGGTAGTTAGTCAGTCTATCAATCAATCAATCAATCAATCAACTAGTCCACCAGTCAGTAAGTCCATCTTTGTTAATCAGTCAATCTGTTAGTTAGCTTTTCCGACTGTTCATCGATCAGTTGGTCAGTCAGTAGGTCAATCATCGCATCATGTTGTAGTGCAGGAGAAAGATACAATGTAACCTAGATGAGCTCAAAGAAGACACTTACTTCATTGGTTGACTCAGTTCACTTGCTTGTAGTTGCCCTTGCACACCAAAAGCCATAATTCATGATCAACCAACATTTCTGCTTTAACCTTGAGGAGTTATGACTGTCTAGGAACAAGCAACAAACTGTTATCCAGGTAGTTGTAAGCCACAGAGCCAAGTTAAGCTCTGAGCTCTACACATAAACATCCTGAAAAAATTATTAACAATGAATAATAGTTAACATCTAATGAGAGTAAGATTTACAAAATTCAAATCCAAAATTCTGTAGACCTCTCAATCAACTTTTAAATCATACTGTGGGAAGAGGTTGGGAGAAAATGGAATTTTGCTGAGGGTAATTTTTGAAATGTAGTACACTGCAAGTAACAAATAGCTCAAGTTGGTGGATCAACCTTTCAATGTGAGTAAGGTCCTAAATGTGTTATTTTATATTTGCTTCCCTTTAAGGTTACCATGCACCTTCAGGGGTGTCAAGTGTGCAAGTAATGTAGCACGTCCGGTTTAAACTGTAGATATCTTAGAAGCCCCTATATCAAATTAAAGCTTATAGGACTGGCTATCAGACTAAACAGAAAATTTTGAAAAAAATGAATTGTCGAATTTTTGTGACTTCTAAATGCGAGCGCCCAAATCACCTTTTAAGAGCTACAAGTCAGAGACAATTTGTTCGATTGCTCTCAAATTTTGACAGTGGCTAGTTTTACCTATAAACAACAAAAATATGCCTCCGAATTTTTATTTCTAAATCCTTTTTTTTCAAGAGCAATTTTTGTACGATCACTCCACATCTTTTTAATCCTATTTCAAAAATATTCTGTAACTTTTCACTGAAATTGAATATGGCAAATTGCAGACATGTTTTTTTTTAGCGCTTTGGCCCCGGAAATGGAGGAACACATTAAATAAGCGAAAAACAAAATTCGCTTTGACACATAATGTTCAAAAGGTGATTCGGGCGCTCGCATTTAGAAGTCGTGAAAAATTCGACAATTCATTTTTTTTAAATTTTGGTATAGTCTGATAGCCAGTCCTATAAGCTTTAATTTGATATAGGGGTTTAGATATCTACAGTTTAAACCAGATGCGCTACATGGCTTGCATGCGAGACACCACTGATGGTGCACAGTAACCTTAAGCGATCAGGTATGTCCTCCAGTTACATCTACCTTATTGGTAGTCGATTATACAAAATCTTGCAAGTATAAAAATCATAACTGTTGAGCATCAACAATATTTCTCTTTCCTGCCTGTTACTGATAAATCTCTATTATGAAAATTAAGTACAGCAATAATTTATGATTGTTATCCAGAGACAACTATAATCCATTAATAACCTTAATCAGTTACCAAAACTAGTCTGAATATCTTTGTGTTAGATGCTAGTCTTTAGTCCCCCTTAAGTGACTGGATGTGAAATGAACTTTGCCTTTTGCATTAATTTTTTTTTAATTTTGCACAAAAAATTCATTTGTACTATTTGTTATACTATACCCAAAGTGGCAATCCTTTGGTTAACAAAAAACATATGTTGTAGATACCATATGTTGTAAATGGCCCACTCTATTTGTTTTTTATTTGAACTCACTCCAATACTTAAGTTATTAAACTAAATTTGGTTGACAAATCATGGTAATGAAAAATGCTGGATGCTGACTTTTTATAGGTAGTTGGCAATAATACTGTGAATGAAGTTTCAACACTGATCAAAATATGAAGAGACAAAGAAGGAAAAATAATTTAAACAGTTTAAAAAGTAGTTTAAACAGTTATGAAAACTGTCTTTCAGCACAAGTGTCAACTTGACATAACATTTTACTGCTCAAGGGAATCTTGTGATTTAAAAACTTTTCTTGTGTTTTCTCAACATTCCTCGTGAGTTATAATAGTAGCAAACTGATAGAAAGTGCAGTCTATCAATTAAATAATTCCTACTACAAGTTTCCTTTTTGTGTTAGAAACATTAAAGCACTCAGCAGCCACTGACATTTCTCAATCCACTAACATTCACTGGAGAATACAAAGACCTCGCATAACTTCAGATTCAAATGACTTGGAATCCTGCTAGACTTTGTGCTTGTTTCTAGATTAATTCAAAAATACAAAGTGGCCCTTAGTATGTGCATTGCCATGTTATTTGTCACACAAACTTTGTAATATTTGTAAGCTTAAAGCCATCTTTTCATCTGAGCACAGACAACAGTTTGGTAAGAACACGAACAATTAAATTCCATGTCCATCTGAAGATAATAAAACATTTTCAAATACTGTGAAAAGCAAAGCTTTATAACTGGTATGACACAGCGTTTCATCTCAACCAAGGGACTCCTCAGATACATTTGGAAATTTCAAGCAAACTTGTTGAGTATTGCGCTCAAAATCCTGTTTGTGAACTCAAGATGTTGTAGGTCTGGCCCTCTATTATATTTAACAATTATTCCATGAGCGCGCGTTGGATATGAGATGATAGATAGCCAACGAGGCACATAGCGCCGAGTTGGCTATAATCATCTCATATCCAACAAGCGCGAGTGGAATAATTGTTTTATTATAAACGCCCCCAAGATATTAGACAGATCTTGTCAACTTTATTTTGTAAAAAGAAACCAGATGCTACAATGTACAGATAATTTCCGGTTTAAGTCATTTTATGACATGTCACATGTTTATCAAAAACTGTCAAATCCTGCGTGCGTTGTTCTGAATGAATTATAAAACGCGACTATCATACCACGTCAAGTTTGTCAAATTTACACTGTTTAAAGGAGTGAAAAAATTTGTCTCTTGATGTTTACAAGACACAATTTAACCCGCTTTAACTGCTTCCGCTAAAATTATTGTGAATTTGCACATTGGTGCAGTTGTAAAAGTTAAACTGAGGAGGAAAACGATGCAGCCCTTGCTCGCCATGTGCTAAGTTTCCCGTGTTGTTGGAAACCGCCACTTGATTATGCTGGACAAGAACGGATGCTGGGGATGCATGAATTGCCGTGGTGGATGGGCTTGTAGTCAGCTGCCGTTCTGCTGTGTTCTGAGTTTGGTCTCCCTATACTAAAGCAAAAATTAAGGCCCTTGAGCGTGTTCAAAGGCGTGCCACCAAATTTATCTTGAAATGTGATTTAACTTATCCAGAACGTTTACTAAAATTAGGTCTTTTGCCTCTCGAGTTTAGAAGGGAGGTGTTAGATTTATGTTTCTTTTTTAAATGTCTGAAGGGGCACATTGATTTTGACGTCCTATCATATGTTAGCTTCAAATCATATAAATACAATATGAGGAACACAGAAGCCATACTTGCCAAGGGTCGCTTTAGAACCGATGTTTTTAAATTCTCATTTTTTAATCGCATTGTGGATTTATGGAATGACCTGCCTGTAGCTATTAGGACAATTGATCGAGTATCATTGTTTAGTAAGAAAGTGAATCAGTTTTATATCAGTAAATTTAACTTAAGTAAGGATAAATTTTTATAATTTTTGATTACGTATTGTTGTTGCTATTTGTCTAAGTTAGTTTTTAATTTTTTTGTATTTTATCACAGGCAGTTTATTTAAAATAAGGAATCTAGAATTCTGTATAAACTGGCCTAATTACTCAGATATCTCTTTTTTATACTTGTATATATATTTAACTCCTTGTTTTTGTTTTTGTTTTGATTATCTGTGTAATTGAATTTGAGTAAATAAATAAATAAATATAACTGCACATTCTTGAAATACAATTTATATAAAATATACAATTAAATGAGTATTGAAAAAAAAGTTGTGTTTTCCCTCATAAAAAAATAAAAAAAGAGGCATTTTACTCTGCTGTGCAATGTATTTACTTTTGAAGTGGATTGGGACTTTGGACTGGATACTACAAGTTTTAGAAATATCAGTATTCTCCATGCAGTAAGGTTATTGGTTAAAAGTCACCTTAACAAGCATCAGGCTCTACTGTGAAATATTGATTTACAACTGTAGTCTTAGTGATGAACTCCAGCTTAATACCCAGTCAAAACATATGCCCAAAAAAATCAGAAACTGCCCTCTTTGGAATAAAGTTAAGGTTCTTAAACCTACCTCATTGTTACACATGTATACAAATAATACATAATTCCCACCTAATTTGCATGTAAATCTGCTGTCTTTCGTGCATTTAGCAAACTAGTAAGAATAGATATCATCCTGCACAGCTATAAAGAAGGGGAAAATGCCTTCTATAGTAAATACCTTTTGCTGTAAAATGTATATCAAAGAAATTAAAAACCTGCCACATTAAAGAGTGAATTGTACTTCCAAGGAAATAAGTAATATATGTATGGGCCTAAAATTCACTTAGTTACTCACTCACTCCATTCTGATTAGACAACAAATTTATGCTTTAACACTTGGATTGAACATGTTATTCCCTGCCTCCCCTACTAGGTGTGCTTCTTTCCCCAAACTCATGCTATTGTCTCCTGTACATATAACTGGGGGGGTGGGATAAAGTTGAAGATTCTTCCTTGAACACATGGTATAATCAACATGTATTTCAAAATGGGGTCTGTTGCCATCGGCCCTATGCTAAAATGATCAAGATGGGTTTTCCTTCTTCTCCCTCCATCAGTGATCAAAATACATCTTTGTAGACCTTATAAATGAAGTGGGCTTCATAGGCTTGAAATTGACTATCAACTGAAGAATTATTGCAAAAATACCAACACAGGTCATAATATGATTTAACTATACTTAAGCAATAGAACCCATTTTTCCCGGCTCTATCATCTGATAAAGACACATGGGATGTTGAGAGGACACTCGGAAAGCCCATATATCACTTGCCTTCAGCCCATGATTTATTAGCCTGCGAAGCAAGCCCTGGGGGAGAGAAGGGGGGATTGGGGCGAGCAGAATGTGCGGAGGGGACGAAGGGCTTGCCACAGACCCCCACTAACCAACGAAATTTCCGATCTCGTATGGACGAAAAATTCCCATTGGCTGAGAGCAACACGTTGTCAATCAACCCTCGAACTAAACAGTCTTCGTGGCGACTACCTTTTAGAAAATGGTGGATGACGGTGATTTCGAGAAGTTCTGCCCTCAAGAATTGATATCGAAGTAGAATACTTGTGGCAGCCATCCACTTGTTCGAGCTCAGGGCCTTGATAAGAATGGCATCTTCATTCTCAAACCAGTTGCCCTTAACCACAACATTGCAAAGCTGATGGACGTTGCATCCAAATCATCAATGTTTAAATTTGTATCCATCGCTGAAGTTGAGGGTTGTCCTTTCGTCGGCAAGTCAAACAACGCTTCCCTGCTAGATGTAGGTTTTGCATGTGCTGGGGAGCAGACACGCAAGCTCTTTCTACTGGACTTTTCCCTGTCGGTGTTGAGAACTTTCATTTCAACGAAACATCACACGAATCCGGACATTGAGAAGCGGCCTTATTCAACAATTCATAAAACTGGCAAAAACTGTTAGCTTCTCTTGCACAAGGAAGGCATATAATTTGAGATATGTGCGACTTACTTTTGAAGTGAAAACTGACCGTTCGAAGGTGATCGGCGAAGACACACTGAAATTCTTCCCTTTGACTCTGATTAAAAATGTTTACAAAACTCTTGAAGCCACTTCCAAATTTAATTCTTAAATCTACTCCACAAAACTGGCAAACTACGTTTTCTGGATTAACTTTTGGCTCTCTCCCTCTCTTAGATTTTGATACCAGATTCTCCTTGTCGTCTGACATTTCTCACTCACGTGGAGCAAGTTTTAGTTGTTGTTTTGACAGATTGCATGGTTCACTGGGCTCTCGCTAACAGTGCTTTCTGATTGGTTAATTTTAAGAGGCGCTGATTGACATATGCAAGATGATATGAATACGAAAATAGGGGACGTTTTGTTAGTTAGTGGGGGTCTGTGGCAAGCCCTCCCTCTCCCCTCCGCACATTCCGCTCCCCCCAATCCCCCTCCTTTCCCCCAGGGCTTGCTTTGCACGCTAATGATTTATTAACTATCCTTACACTCTCCAAACATCCCAAGTGGCTTTGTCATGTTACAAAGCTCAGAAAAAAATGCTTTCTGTGGCTTCTATGACCTAACTAGTTAGTACATGCAGGCTCTATAACCTGATAACGCATCCCCTTAGAAACTGAACTGACCAATCAGGTGATGCAAATTATATTCAATTGTTTCATAAAATCAAATAAATAAGGTTGCCATTTAGGGCCTGTCTATGCTCTAAAATATTAATTTCACACAACACTACAAAATATTTTTTTTAAAAACAAAGGATAAGATATAAATTTCATAGATTCTATTCACTTAAAACTTTCAATATTCACTTTTTGCATTTCTTGCTAAATACTATGATCTCTACCAATAGAATGTGAGAAGGACCTGATTGCATTGCAAGTCTATTTAGCAACTGAAAAGCTCCAGGTCATTCAAAGAACTGAGACCGCAAAATATTTTTGGTTGGGAACTATTGCAGATAAAAATAATAGAGTTTCAGTTTGCTTTCCACTGCAAAATTATGTAAGAATATTTTTGAGGCAACTAGCTGTAACTGAATAACATGTTTTTATTGACTGAGTGGGAGGGCCATACACATTATATTTGGCTTGAGGTCATGATCTACAAACCGAGCACAGCGACCTTACCTTAGTCAATAAGAATTTTTATCATATCACAACTAACTTTTGAAAATTTTGTTTTAACCTGGATAGGATGGGATAGACTGGTGTATACATGAAAACCACTAAAACAATTCAACAATACAATTTTTTTGAGTCAAAACAAGCAACTCACAGTTCATTTTCACTACTTTTTGTGTTGAATAATGAAACTTTCCCAAATTGGTTCAAATGAATAAAGGCTGAAAGTTTCTAAAGAAACTGTGGTGCTGTGTTGTGGGGTAACAAGATACTTGGTTTTATTAAAACTGGATCATTGGATAATGCAATTCAAGACTTTTTATTGGCTTAGCCATTAAGGTATATAAGCCAATATACCATAATCTACAAATATGGTAAGCGTACGCATCAGCTTAAAATCAAAAGGGAGCTAAAAAATCCGGTTTCTTCTTACAAAATAATAATTTCTTGGGGGCGTTTTTAATAAAACAATTATTCCACTCGCGCTTGTTGGATATGAGATGATTATAGCCAACTCGGCGCTATGTGCCTTGTTGGCTATCTATCATCTCATATCCAACGCACACTCGTGGAATAATTGTTAAATATCAACTAAGTTGAAATTGTAAATTGGCCGCCGTAACGAATAAAAAAAGCTGACGTTTCGAGCGTTAGCCCTTCATCAGAGCGAATGGCGAAGGGCTAACACTCGAAACGTCAGCTTTTTTATTCGTTACGGTGGCCAATTTACAATTTCAACTAAGTTTATATAACCAATAATCAAATTGGTTCAGTTTCATTTATCTGCCATTATATTGAAAAGTTGTTCTAGTTCCCAATACCCTGGTACTGTTAACTATAGTTTAGCAATGCATTATAGGGTAATTCAAAACCTCCTTTTGGCTTTGCTTATTTGTTAACGTAAAATGGAGAAAAGAAGTTTTCTGGGTACAGACAAGGATATATGAAATAGGTATCAAATTTACTACGAACTTTTGGTACATTTGGTCAGAAGATGGGTAAACAAGCTTATTTGACCGTTTTTACAGAATTAAGTAGATAGGTATGAACAGCACGATCCACAGATTTCTGTTTACTGTTTTCAATTGGAAAAGTTTTGACTCTGTTTTTGGTCAATTTTTGGTCCACTTAACACTGTCAGCTGACTGTTGGTAATGTGTCAGTAACCTGTTGGCTAACAATTGACTGACAGCTAAAAATGGGAACCATTGCTCACTATTACCCATTTTTTGCAACAACAACAAGCAATGTTTTTGTAACAAAATAATTTGGATATATCAACAAAGTTGAAATGGTATCAGCCTTTATTTTTGTAACAAAGCCTTTCAAGTGCACTAGAGCCCAGGATGGCTTTTTCTGGACCATCTCACGTCAACCTGTTAGGCCCTACACGCCTTAGCTTTCATAATGATTTTCTATGGGATTGCATGAGCAGGGCTGGATAGGTCATATGATGATTTTGTCTCTGATGAAGGAACAGCAGAAAGCGTTGTCTTAGCCTGGAAGCAGGCCATTACTTGGTCTCGTGTCGCAACAGGGGGAGGGGGGGAAGAGCGCATTGCGTTACAAGACCAAACAATGGCTGTGAAGGAGACTACAGGAAGCCTGGTACCAATACAGTTTATTTTTGCTAACAATTTTTTAGACACCAGTGGCAATAGACCATAAAATACGTGTGTCTTATAACAATTATTCCACAAGCACATGTTGGATATGAGATGATAGATAGCCAACGAGGTGCGTGGCGCCGAGTTGGCTATAATCATCTCATATCCAACAAGCGCATGGGAATAATTGTTTTATTAAAAACTTTAAATCAAAATTAATTAATAAATTTTTTAGCTCCTTTTAATTTTAAGCTGATGCATATGCTAACCATATTTGTAGATTATGGTATACTGGCTCATATACCATAATGGCTAAGCCAATAAAAAGTCTTTAATTGCCTTATCCAATGATCCAGTTTTTAATAATTTCAGATACACTAAAAGGTTTTTTTTTTTCTCCACTGAACGATGTTTTCATTGCAATCTTTTGAAAGTAAACGCTCTTTTTTAACAAAAATGCAAACATCAATTACTTAGTATCCCATTTCAATCTACCAATCCAAAAAATAATTCTTGCATGCGTAGTAGTCCTATGTTTTAGTATATGTTTTTCCCTTACCTCGGCAGTTCTGTTATGTCGCACGTGGTTTCCATTTCAGAGTGTTTCAGCCGCTGAGACGTCATTTTTCCGTCCAGATACCATCATGTATTTCAAGGTAAGTAAAGTTTGTGGTACCGTGTTTGCTCCCCTTTTGGTCTCAAAATATTCACATACTCTTGAAAATTTAAAACATTGGCCGCCATGTTGGCAAGACACAACGTGAGGCATGCGCAAAGGGATTAATTTTGACCAGCCGCGCACCAATTTCCCGCGCAATTTCCCCGATAGGGCATGAATGTCACGCAGCACACGCGGCAACATGCTTTTCACGAGCAGCGTTAAATAGCAAAGACTGTTATTCAAAAATGAAATGCAGTGTATTGTTCAAAGAATGATGTTCTTGACACTGATCATACGACAGCCTAGTCCAATCAGTTTTCAATTTCCAGTTTTTCGGGAGCGAAGCTCGAGGAAAACTGCGAGTTTCGAGGAACAAATTACGTCCAAAGACAAATACAAGAGCACATTTTCGTGCTAAGTAGAGGCTATTGTGTTTATTATCCTTCTAATTCTTCAACGCGCGGGAAAAATGTTTACGATCAGCTTGCTGTTTACGGCGTGGGATGTTCACTTGTCAGGGTTAACCTGATACGATCATTTGAACAAAAAAATGTGTTCCTTTTTCTGTAATAACCACACAACGTTTCTCATCTTGAATTGAATTTTAAGCGCTGAGCCGTATTGGAAGTAAGTTTTGAAAATTGGGGAGCGGGTATATCTCGGCAAGTAATTCATGGCAGTCTCCATATAGACTCCCTGTTACCCAGTCTCCATATAGACTCCCTGTTTCCCAGTCTCCAAATTTGTGTACCCTGTGTACCCTGTGTACCCTGTGTACCCTGTGTACCTTGTGTACCCTATGTACCCTATGTACCCTGTGTACCCTGTGTACCCTGTGTACCTTGTGTACACAGGGTACACGTACACAGGGTACACAATTGAACGTTGTGCACGGTTACGTCAAAAAAGCCAACAGAAATTCAACAAATGGTTCCCCAACCATTCCACTTCAATTAACTACGCTCTTAAAGGGGTACAAAGGAAGAAATTAAGAGAATAATTTAACGATACTTATGATTTACGTTTTTTTTTTTATCTGTTACGATTTAATTACAGTTGCGAATCATTGTATCCCGAAATGACTTAAGACATAACAAAATGTCGAAGTTGGAATGTGGAATTAATGCAATTCAAAATTATGTTTACCCTTGATTAAAAACCAGATTAATACAAATTATACAATATTGATATATTTCTGTAAATTGGGAGAACACACGTGTTCAAAATGAATGACTCAACGGAGTCTAAGAGACAGCTCTCTTCAAGTGTCCATGGTCCGAGTTGCAAATTATATCCCCTGTGTACACAGGGTACACAGGGTACACAGGGTACACAGGGTACACAGGGTATACAGGGTACACAGGGTACACAGGGAGTCTATATGGAGACTGGGTAAGAGGGAGTCTGTATGGAGACTGGGTAAGAGGGAGTCTATATGGAGACTGCCATGAATTACTTGCCTATATCTCCTAGGATATCCCCCAGTTTCAGTCGGAGGATATTCGGTCACGTGATGCGTTTTGACCAAGCCATAGGAGGCCTTCGATCAGCTGGGGAAGAGGTTGATCAGAATTTAACTAAATTCGGGGACCTGAAGTGAATAGGATCACTTACGGAAAGATACCCTCATTTAGGAACCGACAGTTAGGCCCAGTTCAGACGTCGTGCTTCTGTCGTGCTAAACTTAATTGTAATTAGCATGGCAGAAACAACTCCGATTCAGACGTCAGGCTAGAGTTGTACTGATTTACTGAAGCAAAGTAGCTTCCCGCGAGAATGCAATCCCGCCCAAAACACAGTAGCATGGTTAATCAATTTTGTTTGGCCCGGCGGAGGCACGTTTTTATCGCTATAGCGCCAGATTCGTGTAGCACAGCAAAGCATGTCGAACTAAATTGCTTGCCTAACTTATTTCAAAAGTTTTCTTCATACGCCGTTTTTCTGCCGTGCTCTTGTTGTACTTAATTTCAGAATTGATTTCGAAACGACAGGAGCACGACATTTGAACTGGGCCTTTGTCGTCACTCACGTGCGGCCGTACGTTGAAACCCAGTGGTAAGTGCTCTTAGGCAACAATTACGTCCTAGAGGTCTTCGCGATTACCTCCTGCTGTTTGGAAATGTATGGGGGAAGATGGTAATAAACATGAGTTTTGTGCACACAAGGTTTAAGATTTCTATTCTAACGCTGTTACCAGTCGCCCCCAACCCGAGAGACCCTACCACACATTGTACACCAGATTGTTACGCGATCGAAAAATGTAGACCAATAATAGTCGAATGTTTGAAACGTTTCAACCGTAAATTATCAATTCTTGAGGATTTTGGCTTTCGTTGGGCCAAATTTATAAAATTTACAAGTAAAAGACAACGCAATTGAAACTGACCGTACACAAGTTGAGTGTCTTTCAATCAAGTTGTCTGGATGTCCATATGCATTGTAGGTAATTCAAGAGCATGATACGCAACCAGATTCAACATCGAACACAATGTAAAACAAAACAAGGTTTAATTCTCAATGCAACGATAAAAGTTTAGAAGGTTAAGATAGAAAGCTATGTCTCGCCTCAACGTGAATTTTTGATGTGTTTATAGGTGCCTAAAATCGAAAAAATTAACATAGGCCTTTCGTCAAAGCGAAATCTTTGAGCTAGGAAGAGTTGCGATTTTGGATCAATAGTGCTCGTCAGCATGTTGAAAACTAAACACAAATATCAATTAACGAGTTCTTCAACTGTTTCCCACTTTATGTGCGGTAAATACTGCCCCGTGCCTGTGCTACGAGATGTGGAACGAATAAGAGGCCAAACTAAATTTAAAAAACACATCATTGAACCAGAAAGTGCTGTAACATTTGTTGGAATCAAATTCCTTTTCTGTAAGAAGTATTTTTAAGTACTAGAACATTATGAGGACAACTCAGTTTGGACTTGGTGAGCGGCTTTGTCCACCCTGTTCTTCTTCTTTATCGCTGAATTCTGCTGCTGGAGAGCCAGACCGTGATCGTGAGGCCGCTGATCGTGCGGGAGATGGTGAGCGTGATCTGGAGCGAGATCGTGATCGCTCTCGTTCTTTCTCTCTTTTACTGTCACGATGACTATCTCGGCTTCTTTCGCTTCGGCTGCTACGTTCACGGCGTTTGGGAGAACGCGATTTCGATCTGGAGTGAGATCGGCGGCGACGACGTCTGAAGAAAAGGAAAACATTTAATTGTCTTGTGACCATGAACTATACTAACACTGGAAATTTAGAAATACGTCCGAAAACTCTACGGACGTGGAAAGAGATCCCTCTTCCGCCTTATTTTTACTACCATTATAACAGTTACAGAACAACGTTTAGGACAACATACGTTGATCAACCTTTAAACCTGTACACAGAAGGTGTTGACATGCCGCCAGCTAGGCCACGTGCGACAAAGAGTAACTGCAGTCATATGTCAACACAAAACTGTAAAATGTAAAAACACTGCTAGTGGTCTAAGCCTCAGACGTCACTAACGATCAAACCTTCAAACCCCATAAACCATTACACACCGGGTACTGAAACTGACAGAGCACATAGGTTATCACTTTAGACTGCTGATTCATCCGCAGCAAAGTCGTAGAAACTACACAATACAGGGCCACTTCTGAAGGAGCGTAAATCTAGTGGCCCGTTTGGTTAGGCAGTGTTAACAAAGGAGCAAACAAGCTGGCTTGGCGCACGGTTAAAAGTGGTCCTGTATTCTGAAGTTTAGCCGTAATGTTACTAGTACCACAACTCAAAACTATATATATACCCGAGAAAAAATACTTAGGGACCAAAACCGTACCTTGGACTACGACTGCGGGAGCGACGACTGAAAAAAAAAAAGATAGAAAATAAATACATAAGAATCCATTACTGACCATGAAACAATAATTCCATTTCATGTCTAGTAAAGCCTGACTAAGTGGGGTCACCATATTCCAAGTTCCACAAATCTCAAACTTAACAGCAACTCCTATTGTGTATTGACAGTAACATGGAATTGCCTTGGTTCTGTTGCATTTCTCGCTGGCGTAAGGCACTTCACAAACCTTATGACACCCTCTCCACAAATCAGATGTCACTTTATCCTTGTACTATTGACCTCTTCTATGATGGGCTGTATTTTTCATTTTAGTTTAGGTTTTGAGACACCTGATCGTGAGGCACTGACTACATTGGTAGGAATTAAAAGCTATTTTACCTGTAAGAATCATCCTGATAGTCTCTCCTGCTACTGTAACTGCCACCACCATAGGTTTCCCTTTTTTCTTTGCCCCGCATCTGTTGTGGGGCTACAAATGGAATTCATTTGCAGTTAGACCATATTGACAGCAGGTGAAAACCCAATAAAACAGAAGATTCTAACACAAGTCACAAAATTCATTCCAGTAAAGTTATAAATGCCCAATTACATTGATAGTGAAACTGTAAGATGCACCTTTAAAGAAAGGAAATCGGTCTCTTACTGTAAATATATAGTTAGGAGGAATTACAATATTTACACAAATAAGCACCCCTCCACTTATCTAACATTTTGAGCCTCAAATGTGGTACTCATCTAAAAATTGGACACAACAAAATGCTCTCTTTTAATTTCCAGTATAGTTTTTATCTGTTGAAAAAATATAATGAACTCGTCCAGGAAAGCATCGAGGGGAGGGGGTGTCTATTTGCACAGGAGCTTTTTTCAATTCTGATTGACAGGCGAGATGCTTGTATAAGAAATGTAGTAACAGCTCCAGGGGAAGTGTTAGTTCCAAAGCATCACAGCTTTAACTTATTTTGATACTCAGGGGGGCTTATGTCTTAGAAGGTGCCTTACTCTTTCTGTCTCCTTCTGCAAACTGAACTTCCAGTTCTCTTCCCAGCAAAACAACTCTGTCCAAGTAGTAATGGGCATCTTCTGCATCACGGATATCTTCAAATGTATCATAAGTTAAGGCTTGACTTCCTCTTTTCCAAGCTTGACCTGGACCAGAAGCTTGAAGGTGCTGTCACTGCTGAAGTACACTTGATCACAATGATACTTTATGGTGATATGTCATGCTCCTTTACTACCTTCCCTTGCATTTCTGGCAGACTTGATAATAGCATAAGCAATGCAACACTCAAAAGACCCTTAGTAATGCTCTACATGTAACTGCAGCAAAGTTACCTGTAATGCATTTTTTTCTTAAAATACAAGAATTGTATCAAGGTTGAAGTCTACACAGATTTGCCCAGCCTCACATTCCTTTACAGCAGCTTTCAGCTGACTTTTGAAAGTATATCTGGTTTGGTTTGGTTTTGCTTCACTTCACCGTGTCATTGATTCAGAAAACTCATGCCATTCTCTCAACCAATCAGATTTAAACCTAAAACCAACTGCAACTAAGTAACACACATTTTCCCACACATTAGACAGTTTGCTGGTTTTATTGGCTTTTGTAATATCTTCCTTTGCTTTGAATGGTTGTTATTACTTTGGTTTTGGTTTCACAATACTCATCAAAACATGCTGAAAGCAACCTTTCAGATATCAGATTAGGTGAACTGCCATTGTTTAGAACTTTTACTTTCATGCAGGCACTTCGAAACAAAAGTCCAGCATCCCACACATTTTCTGAAGGCTCATATGACCATAACTTGAATATATAAAAATGTTTCAAAAATGAACATCAAAGTGATGTTACATGAAAATCCACCACAATCATTAATTGTATTGCCAGGTATAGAAATGCCTTGCAAGGGGTAGTATGTTAAATATTTGAATAAAGGTCACTTTCCTTTGGAAAATCTTTTGTCTGTAGACAATTGTTTGATCTTAAGAGTTGTATTTTTCACCCCTATGGTTCAAAGTTCCTTGAAATAAGGGATATACCCTATATAAAGGGGAAACTGAAAATGTACATCTTCCACCCTCTTAACAAAATGAGTTACTTACAGTATTTGTTGCTATTCTTTCAAAAACTTGATACTTGGATAACTGAAATGCCAGTGTTGACAAAATAATTGCTTGAAACATCATTTTTGTAGTCTTTCTTTGCACCTTGTCAAACTTTAAGATTTTGATGTTTCAAACTCTTTGATACTTTACTTTAAACTTGTCTCTGTACCAAGCTTGCAAGTCCCACTATTTGAACTTTCTAGGCCACTTTTATTTGTGGTCGGAAAGGAAACCATCATGATGACTCTGTTTGCCCTTTATTTGCCCTGCCCTTGTGCGACACACTTTGATCAGCAGGCCAACCACATTCTTTCGACTTGACTTTAATATTCTTTTAACAAGCCTAAACCTTTTTCTTTGTTGTTGCTGATGATCTTTTTAACTTGGTAGCACTACTACTTAATTCCTGAAAAAAATTTAAACTTAAGAATGAATAGGAGTTTCTAGAAGTCATAAAAACAGCAATGGGGACGATAAGTTAATTCTTGGATTCCAATACTTACATCTATAAATTTCATTCTTTGCAGAATTGACTCCACTTTTAACACCACTGCTTTTAACACGACATGCCCTTGCAACCTTTCTTTGCCTTTTCGCGCCTGGGTTAGTTGCAGCTTGACAATTTACTCTTTATAAGCTGATCTTTTCAATTATCATTACTCTTTGCTTTGTCTTTACAAGCTTTCATTCCGTTTACTTGAACTTTTTACTTTCGTTCCCACTTTGGATTAGCTGGGGCTTTAAAATCTTTACCGACTTAGCAGGCTTTTTCTTGAGGACTTTAGCTTTCGATCTTTCTCTAGCCCTGGCTACCAAAAGTACAACAAGATGATTCAGTTCTTACTTATTATAAAACACCAAACAAACTCAAAGGTAAAAAGAACCTTAAACGAATAACAAATCACAACATACAGAAAAGGATATTGAACATAGGCAAAGCCTCGAGACTCCCTCGTGTAGTAATCTAGAGGAATGTACACGTCGGTGATGCGGCCATACTTCCCAAACATACGTCGAAGGTCTTCGGGTCTGTGAAGAGAAAAAAATGGCGTTAGGAGGATTTAAAATACAATGGAGGTCAAATTAAGTCTCTGATGAATCTTACCTCGTATCATGGTGTAAATTTCTCACGTAAAGTGAACTGTTAGGCGGTCTTGAGTAACGACTCGACATCTTGCAAACTGAAAACCACGCTACAAAGCTAAATTATGGGATGGTGATTATAACATATGCGTATCGGTCATCGGTTTTGCTCAGTAACCTAATTTGGTATCGGCTACCTTTTTTGGAAAGCGAACCTTCTTTTCGTCGCTTGGCGCGAAATTCATTTCACAAAGCGCGCATACATTCTACATTTATTTACCCTTGCCTGGCCAACGACCGTTTTTTTCGTGAATCGATTTCAAGGAAAGTAATTTGTTCTTCAAATAATATGGACACAAAGTCCCCTGCATCACAGCAAAACAAGAAATCGCGTCTTGACAGCAGAGAAGGAGAACTCAGTTCGAGAGAGTCTCGTGAAATGAACAAGTCAGGGAACTTTCGAAAGACACAGAAGCGTGACAATCATAGGTATTCTTTTCAATCCTTCTTTGCTTTATTCCAGTATATTCGATTCGTAGATCGACAGGTTTAAAAGAAGAACGTAATTTTAAGGTTTTTTTGATGAGATGCGACTCAGATAATAACAAGATCGTGGGAATTATTAGACTAACTGTTCGAAGATTTCCCGCCAGAATAGAGTAGAGTCGCTTTCTGGGTGTGATGGTCTTTTGCATCGAAATTTGCGAACCAGCTGGGGTCAAAGACTGAAATCACCCTGATGTTTTTCGTTCCAACTTCCATTATTTACGGGCCATACTCTCACGACGTTACCGACTAAGCCGCAGAGCAATGCATAAATAGATATCCACTTTAAACATACCTGTGTAAATGGAGGATTGATGGCGCTCTCAGAGTTAGTAGAAGGATATTATAAACAGAATATACACGCGTCTAAAGAAATCGTTTTGTTTCAATAGGAGAAGGAGAGAAATACCAGAGAGTCAGTGCATATCACTGTTTCCTTCTGTCAAGAGCGACTGTGATGAAAACATCCCCGATGTGGATACTCCTCAAAACGAAAGAAATAAATGGGCTAAAACTACAAGCAGCAAAAAGACGCCTCCCAACAGATCGCATCTTGAAAGTCAGGACCTCTCCAAAGAATTCCCTCCTCTTGGTTCAAGGTAAATATTCATATCTGTTTTTGTACTTCTATGAGGTGTTCAAGTCTTCATACTGGCCCACTGTGAGGTAACAAGAAGGAGTTCTGCTTCTTGTTGAGGGTAAAATTCAAGTCCATGCCTCGCTTTTGTTGATATACCCTGATGGTTTTCTGGAATTCATTTATATGCCAGGGTTGAGAGAGACAGTGTAAAGGGCTTTAAACACACAGCAAAATGTTGTGGACCTTAGCCAAGGCTCAAATCCAAACCTCTTGATCAAGAAGAAAGCGTGCTAACAATATTAACCTGCAGGATCCCCAAGAGTCTGTGTTCATACTCGATGAAAATATTCTTGGATTTAAAAAAAATCAAATGCAAGGATAAGGATAGGTTGATCACTTGCTTAATAGAGCAATTTTCAGCTGAGTATTGAAAAACTAAGTGGATCACAGTGATCGATCAGAACAAAGCTTTACTTTATTATTAGCTAATGAGAACCTAAAATTGAAAATAAACAAACTTCTTAAAGTGTGGAGAAAATGGAAATTAGCACATCATGATTGTTTTGAGTTTTGCATCTGGTTAGTCAAGAGGATGATACAAGTTTTCAAGACCAATTACAGAGCAAAGTTAAGTAAGATCAAAGCAATCCCACTTTACTTTCAACAATCAATTAAAAATTTCTCTAACACACCCAAGAAGCTTATGAATCATTACTCTGTGCAAATTCACCAGTTAATAAACTTGCATCATGAAAGCAGATCTGAATTATTCCAAAATAATTCACTTTCTAAGTACATGAATGTTTGTTCTTTTTACTGATTTAAGTATCATGTGAATAATTATCCTCCAGTTATACTCCTGAGGTGTTAAAGGACTGGGGAAGTATAGTTGATGAAGAGGAAGAAGGAAGAAGAAACCCAGAGCATAAAAGGACAAATTTAAGGTATGTTTTGTTTTAACTTAGAGAAATGAAGTAAACTTGTCTGGAAAAGTAATTGTGAGAAATTTTATTGGAAAAATACCCTGCACAGTGCATCGATGAGCTGATGAAAAATCAGTTTGTCTTGAAAATATGAAAATGATTGGTCTTTTTACTCCTTTGCAGTGGTGGTACACCACTTGCTCTGAAAATTATTACAAAGGAACCACACCAAGTGTGAGTGACCAAACATCTTTTAAATTTTTTCTGCAAATCACGACAGGGAAACACCACCCCAGGGCTCCAATTTAATTTTTGGATCACTAACCCTGCGGGTTAGTAGACATCTTTTTTACTTACCAAATTGTCAAGTTTGGTATCCAAGCTCACAAGTTACGATATCTCAAATATAAAACATTTTGATAATTACAACTAGGACAAATTAAAGAGTAGCTGAAATTGCATGGTGACCTTAAAAACGTTGACAATTATGCACCTATTTTATTTCCCTCTCGTTTACCATGATTAGTCAAGAATAGTACATCTACAGCGGATGTATACAAAACATGGACCGGGGTCCATGGACCACCCCTATGGACCACCCCTTATTTTTTAAAAAGGAGATCGCCCCTGTTAATACGAAAATTTACTGGAGGTCAGGGTACGAAAAACACAGACTCGTATTTATCGCGCCCCCATCAATGGGAAGACCACTTGTTTTGAGATACAGAAGATTGAGTGCATTTCTACCCACAATATTTTCATTCCAACCCTTCCAAATTGCTATTCAATTGGGAAGACACCCCAACCACGCTTATTATACTCTATTGTGCATAAAAAATAAGCCGATTTATTTTATACGCGAAGTTTACCCTACAAACACAAATTTGCAATCAAGGTATATTGATGAAAAAGTTTAATGGATAGCTTGTAATTTTAATGTGAGGGCACAGAATCATTTAGTTTCTGTATTAAATTTGATGCATTTTGTTAAAACTAATTTGGTATCGGACTTTCAGACATGAATGTTAATTCAATTAACCCCAAAATAAATTATTTCATGCCTTGTTTGTGCTACATTTAGTACCGTGATCATGAATTTTACAGAAAAAAGGTCCAGTAAAATAGATTACATAATCTTATACCATGATTTTTGTGTTGTTATCAAAGTGTTGACAATGAATTTAAACTGGCAGAAAACATGACGAGGAATTCTTGCACACGCGGTTTCAATTACGCAGTTTTTGAACTTACGATACATACATTCTTTATTTATTTCAGAAACAAACTATATCTCAAAACGAGTTTATGGTCTTCACATTTATATGGGTGTGATAAATTCGAGTCCATGTTTTTCGTACCCTGACCTCCAGTAAATTTTCATATTAACAGCGGTGATCTCCTTTTAAAAAATTAGGGGTGGTCCATGGACCCCGGTCCATGTTCTGTATACGTCCCATCTACAGCACATTCTTGAAAAAGAGTTTAAGTTGATTAAACAACTTGAGTATTCTGAGTATTCCTCTGAGAGGTGGGTCTATGTGCTGAGGTCTACCAATATTTAAATATGTCAAAAAAACAAAAAAATGCATAATATACATTGTGAACAATAGGTCAATGCCAAATGATGACAGCGAAGTGCAGGAGACATGGATATGTAACTTTGCCCTCTCGTCAGCTCTTTCACCTCTTTCTTCTATTACCTGTGTCTCTTCCATTGTGAGTGTGTTTGTGTTTGTTTCATCATACTTATTCATTCATTTATCAACATCACATCACTGCAATAACTGTCTGATCTTCTAACTTTTGTGAGCCACACTACTCATCCATTGTGTTACTAACCATTGAACAGGCAGACATCAACTAGGATGTTCTTAACAGACTAGTAAGATTTATTTAAGAATTAAATCTTGCTTTCATAAGAACAACACATTTGGCAGAACATCACATGTTACCATGAGATGACCACAAATAAATGCTGGCTGATGGCTAAGTAACAAAACTTCATCTTTTGCAGTCTTCTTTAGACATATCACCCTAAAGTAATGTATAACTTTAAATAATTGAGATAATCCTCCAAAATGAAGGGTGAGAAAAAATTGAAATTTTTCTGGTGAAGAAATCAAGGCAAAATGCAGTAAGGGCAGTCAGTTTCTTTTTTTCTGTCCAGTTTTCCTTGGTCAATGATATCTCCGTGTACACTTTTTTATCTGACAGTCATTCCTTATTATTATGCTGTTTTTAGGCCTTCAGAAAAAGCAAACAGTGCAAGAAAACTACACAAATGACAACAAAATATTTTGGCACAGATAGAAAAAACTAGGAAGAGCTAGTAAAAATTCTGGCTTAGACATTGTAGCAATATACCTTAGAGAGAGATGTATAGAACACTTAAATATTGTATCTAGTGCAGCATAAAATGCTCTCTGGAGAACTTAATTGTACTAAGCACGTTTCATTACAACTTGTAGATTCAAAAGAAAACTACTGCTCTCAGAGTCTAAAGATGAAAACTTAAAACAGTTAAGCCAGAAACATGTCTTGACTGATCCACATAAACTGCAACAAAGACAAAAACAAATTGACATTGGGAAGAACACCTTGTCTTATGGGCATTACACATCTGCAGTGCCAAGGTAATTACTAGCATGCAATGCGAGCTCTACCATCCTCTACAGTGTTGAGTGTTGCTGTTTTTGAACTGTTGTAAGTTTTATCACTTGTCATTCAACTAATACCCTTAAAGAATATCCCACACAACTCTAGTAGAACTGAGATCACCATAAAATTGTCAAAGTAAATTCAACTTGGATTTTTTTAAGTTTACATCTAGCAAAAATAATGTCTCTTACATGCATTTCCTGCTAAATGAAACTGTTAGAGAACAACGCACTAAAGAAGATCCCAATACACCAGACAAGTTTCAAGTATGCAGCACCCGATCTTGGGTTGGCCAGGTAAAGCTTTGGCGTCGAAAACTTCATGTCTGGGACCCGCCATCTGAAGGATTAGAAGATTTGTTCTCTTTAACTTCACAGAGGTAGGAACATATTTATTGGTCAAAGTCAAGACTGTACTTTAAGGAAAATTGCAGGGTGCCCAAAGGTTCTTATTTAGGAAATCTGGAGTGCTCAGCTCCAACAAACCTTCATAAAAATGAAGTTAAACAAGTTTCCCAAAAACAAACCTGAGGCACCTGGGCTCTGCTGGACCACAACCCTGAAAGTATGGGTTAATGCACTGCCCACATTAACCCCTTAACTCATGGAAGTGATTAGCATGTGACTTTCCCTTGTGATATCCATTCATTATCCAGTAAACAGGTAATGAGGATACTCAAACTAATCAGTAAATTTTATCTTGGCATAACACCAAATTCTTGTAAATAACTAACAAGGAAATGTGTCATTGCTAGAAGGGAGAGTTAACAATCATATTTGGGAGTAGAGGGAGAGCTGTTGATCCATATGGAACTGTTTCTTTTGAACCAGTAGACATGTGACCAAGATGTTTTGTGACTACAGCAAGTGTTCTCAAACAATCAACATTCGATATTACTAATTTTTGTCTTTTTATTGTTAAATAATGGTTGCAAATGTTTTAATTTAACAGTGTTCAGTCGTTCCCTTGTGAGGGCAAGATGGAAGTGGATGGTTACAATGGTGACGCTGATGATGACAGGATGTCAACATCCACCCCAAGCAGTGTTGATGATGTGTTTGGTGAATTTGATCTTGATGCCTGTTTGATGAACGATGGCTTCCCACTATAATTTTCAAAATGTACCTATTCCGTTGTTGATTTTAAAAAGCTTTTACACTTGAGATTATTAATATTTAGTGTTAGAAGAATTTTAAGATTTGTGCAGATTTAAATAGGCATGGGTCAAACTTTTATTAAATTCTGACAACAGTTCATTTAAATTTCTCAAATGAGCTTTTAAATTAGTTTTAAAAAAATATATTGCAATGTTTAAACTGTGGCTCACAACTTGACCTTTTTTAGATAAGTTGAGTATCAGATTTTATTTATTAACTGCTGTCAACCATTCACCTTTTACTATAAATTTCCACTCATATTTTATTCTGAGTGTTTGTACAAAACTTACCTACCATGAAGAAAAAGATGATGTGCAGAGTAAGCAACATGATGTTACTTACTTCATTTGGTGCAGCACAGTCAGATAAGTTACTGGTAACCATTTTCAGAATTTTGATTTTACTTCTGTTGTAAAAATTAAAGACCACTCTTACTTCCTGCTGAAAAGGCAGCACTAGGTAACTTCAAGGGAATGTATGTACTGGAAATATTGATGGTATCCTTTAAATAAAGAGATGGACTTGTGACTACAACTACTTAAATGTGTGCATTGAATGGCTTGGGGCATACCTGCATCAAGGAAACCTTTTGAGTGTTCCTGCATTTTTGTTTGTTTTTTTTTGCTGGTATCTGGTCTAGAAATTAACCGTAAAACCTCAATGGAAACATTTTGTTTGCTGTTTTTTCATCCATGTGAATTATTCACTTTTTCATTGTCAATTGAGTTTTTTTTTTTTTCTCAATCAGACACCTTGGGAAAACAGACTGTTTATTCTAACACATTTTTAGCTGATTTAATTTTCTCTGATGGTGATTTTTTTTTTACCTGGCAGAAAATGATAAAAAAAAAAAAAATGAAAACAGGCAATGAATTTTAGAGTAGTTAACGAGCTAATATCTTTGAACTGAGACTACAAGTGCTTGAAAATCTCACCTATTACTATTTACAGAGTGCAGCTGAGGAGTTGAACTCAGGGCAACCAAGAACAAATCTAGTGAATGGCAGGGTGGGACTTGAACCTGGGACACCAGATCACAAGTCCAGCACCCTTAAAACTCAGCCACACTGCCTCCCTTTATAATTATTTGTAGCATGCATAACATGAATGACTATTGCAAGTTAGATTACTCACTGCAGACAGGATACTATTAACTCTGTTATTGCTCCTACACTACTGTTATTACATTGTTCTACCTTTGTTTTTGTCATGTATGCCAGGTGCCCACATGAAAAACCAAACAATAAAATAAATCATCACACAACCTGATTTCATAAAAGTTGTCTTTATTCATTATTGCTGTTTCATGTACATTGACTTTCATGGCTGCAATTTTTAAAATTCCTTTCAATAAAATCAGTTATGCAACTTTGCTTAGTATGTTGTTCTCAACTTCTTTTGTTAACTTTCACAGCCAAATTGATCCCCATGCACATGGTAACTTATACTTTTTTTGTACAAAACAGCAGAATATATCTATATGTATGTGACATTACTTTATAAAAATTATTTTTCCCACTTTTTAGTTTTCATACCTAGCATATCTTACTCCTGAATGGCTATTCTCTATTTACAAATTGCTTTGGTATGAGAGGGTTTCTGTCTGGAAACTGAATGAGCAAAGTACACTTCTCTGTTTCTCACAGGTAACAAAATAATGAGGTAGTAAATTTTCATATTTCGGGAAGGCAGTTAAGTTTGCTCCACATAAAATAACTTGCAAGAAAAGCAAAATACAAAACAAGCATATTGAGTCTAGTTATGATAAAGGTCAGATCACTCATGCTGAAAACTTTGAGCAAAATGCCACAAGTGTCACCCCTCCAAGTGCACACAGACTAGGAGACCCCATCTGTTACACATGTAATACCAACAATAGAAGGTTTACTGCAGTTGAGATAATATTAACTTGACTAAATTTCTGAAAGTGCAAGCTTTGAATGCCAACGTTACTGCTCACAGTGCCCAGGTACTGGTGGCAAGGACTTGATAACACCAGAAATATCTTTGCTTGCAATGAATTATGAAAAGTGAATTTGCAACCTGTATGCTGAAACTTCATCAAAGCAAAGGAAATGGAGATTAAAAAACGCTGCTCAGTCATGCCCAGTTAATTCATCTTTGTTCTGCAACTTATCATGTAAAGTGAAAGTTGTCAGTTTCTTATTCCACTGAAAGTGTAATGAGATACTTTAACCATGATTAAAAAACCAAAAAACTGAACTGTCCTCTTCAAAACTACTTGCATGAAATAACAGGTGAAGAATGGACTTCATTTACCAATATCAATAAATGCAAGTGGAGACAACCTTTACTTGACTAATCTGAAAAGTTCCTGGATGCAAAAGATAGCATTGGTGACATTCACAAGGAAAAATAGGTTTCCTCAATATTCTCATTTAGACCAGAAATTCTTAGATCATTAAGATTAAGAGATTGAAAACTGTTTGACCACTTAACATCAAGCTACATATACTTATTAACCAAACTACATATTCATTGACATGTTCATAAAGCCATGTATTTGGCAGTAAAATATATGACTGACCTATATATTTTAAATTCAAAAATGAAAGCTATGTAGCATGAAGTGAGACAAATTTCCCAATAAAACTTCTGCAAAAAAGAATTTTAATGCTTTGCATAATTGCTTCATATTTTCTGAGATGACTTTACTACAACTTGAAGGGTTGGAATATTCCATAAGCTCAAAATAAATTGTTTTGTTTTATTGTATTGGTATAATGGGCACAATATCTTGATAGCGGCAATGTTAACTACTGTCTGATGTCAACATAAGCTGGTTCTGTCAACTGTCTCAACACCTCCAAAAGTATAGCACTTCTTCAAAGTTTGCATTATTGCACCTTTCATTTATGGAACACCTAACAGTTACATGGCAATTAAGATTTTATAGCTTTTTACAATAAGAGAGCCTTTCACATCTAGCTTTCTTGAACCCAAATTTACTGCAGCCACTATCTCTGGTTCTTCGTAAAGAGTATATCACCCTTTAATCCATTTTTTTGAACACTTCACTTCAATCCATATTGACATTTACTTCTGCTCGGCATATGGGACATGTTCTGTTTGACTACAAATTGAATAGAAATATAATCAATGGCCATTCCATTAGCTATCAAACTAATAAATGAAACAATTTTGGGATACACAGTCTAACCATTACTAAATGTTCTTTTTAATCATTGTTGAATAATATTCATTCATACAATTCCAACAAACTACAGATTATTCTTTGTCTGTTATAGAGTCCTTTACAAGGGGTGGGAAGTCACCACCTCTACTCAAATTAGACAGGTCTTATCTCTTTTTCTGGTTGTTTGAGGCAATCGTAAAATAGTTCTGCGCTGTTTTTCTACAAATAAAAATAGATTAAACCATGCACCATGATTCAAGTCATTACAGTAATTAATATTGCTTTTAATTGACTTTCCAATATCAGTACAATCCATAGTCAGTTTTTTTCTTAATTTCAAAAATTCATGTAAATTGCAAACTTTCAATCCATCAAAAGAGTTACATAAACATTATTCACAAGAAATTTAAATCCTTAGCCTGAAACCTTGAAAGAAACCATAATTTCAAAGCTCCTGGAAATCACAACTGTTCTTACCTTGAGCCATTTGTCAATACACCTTGTGTGATACTCGTGCAGACAGGGCAAGACTCTGACAAGCTGTTTCTCTTCAAAATCTACTAGGCAAACCACACATCGTTTTTCATCAGCTTCTTCCTTTGCTCCTGCTGTCACCCGGTATGTGGGAAGTTGATCAATTTCTACACGAGACAATCCTTTAGGTTTTACCTCTCCCATTTGCTCTGCAAAGTTAAGGAGGGTCTGCAAGAAATGTTAAGAAATTTTAATAACCATGAAGAGACACTAAACAGCTGGCAATATCCTCATAAATTGAAACTTACCTCGTAGTTTTCACGTGGATGTAACTCTTCTTCCCATGAAGCAGGAGTTGGCTGCGTTGCTAACTGCTGCATGGACATCACAGATATTAAATGATAGAGTAAATCAGGGTATGGATGTACACCAGAGTGCACAGGGGGAGGGGGTGGTGGTGGAGGTGTGCGGTGGGCACGCCGGGATGGCCAACCTGGATGGGATGTATTATTATGATGCCATCTTCGGTAGTGTCTGTAGTGCTAGTAGAGACAAGAACAAACATGGATGTCTTAATTCCTGATTTACAAATTCCACAACTGAACTGTATGGTCTCTTCATTTATAGAAGGGGTGTAGGTATGGTAATCCTGGAGTAAAACAGGAAGAGAGCCTTCCTCATTTTATCATTAACTTATTTCAATAGACTACAAGACTCATTTTCTAGCTGATAATGATTTTTTTGCTTGTTTTTTGTTTTGTTAAGATTCAAAACTTTACAGAAGTGAGGAAAAAAAACCAGCCACACATGTTAGATTAGAATTACATCTTACCATACTTCCAGGTGTAGGGTATGGGTGGTATGCCTGTGGCTGTGGAACTTGAAAAGGAGGCTGCACAATATGATGATGATGGTGGTGGTGATGGTGGTGATAATGATGATGGTGGTGTGTACTGACTCCATTACTTCCTCTGCCATCAACATCCATCTGGAAAAAAGGAAAGGAAAGAAAAAAGGAGGGAGAGAAGACAGGAAGAAGGGAGGAAGGAAGAAAGGAATAAAAATCAAGGTTAAATTCTCATGGCTAAACTTGGAATTGAGGAGTGAAAGGGTAAATCATTATCAAAATATTTACATCAGTGTTTTTCTAAAGAAACTGTTTGGGGCTGCGTCGGTGGGGGTAACGAAATAATTTGGATATATCAACAAAGTTGAAATGGTAAATTGGCCACCGAAACGATTACAAAAGCTGACGTTTCAAGCGTTAGCCCTTTGTCATTCGCTCCGACGAAGGGCTAACGCTAGAAACGTCAGCTTTTGTAATCATTACATCAGATATATTGCTTCTGAAACTTTATTTTCCCATAAACTGTGTTTCAAATCAATAATAAATGAAAAACTTATAATGATAATAATAATAACAACAACAACAACAACTAATAATCCCAGCTAATCATAGTTACCTTTTTTTCTGTTTTTAAATTTTCTTTTCGCATCTGTCTGTGACAGGGCTGGCTACAACAATTTGGTGTAATAGTCTAAAAAGTTTACTTACTGGAGAATGGTGAGGCTGAATGTATGTTGGAGCTGCAACAGGAACTCCTGCAACTAGCAAAGAGTTTGGTAGGCTCGTAACCGGTACTGCTCTGACATGATCAGGTATTTGATCCACATCAATAAGAACTGGTGGTCCAGAATGGGGTGGGGGATGTTGCAAAGGAACCGTAGATCCCATACTGAGAGGGCAGAAATTGTTGTTTGTTGGTGGATGGAAAAGTCTATTGTGTGAGGGGTGATGGTGTTGCTGTTGCCTTTGATGAAGAAAGGGGCAGCTATGACTCGATGAACTCCTAAAACACAAAATTACAGCTTTGTCAAAAGATTGAAATAACTTGACAGATGCAAGTAAAGCAACTTAGGATAGACCCTAACTGATTCAAAACAATTTGCAAAATTTCACACATATGGCAGTTAAATAGAGTACTCACCCATGACTTTCTGAGGGTAGGTGACCTGGTGGATTATTAACTCTGTGGAATGCTGATGAATGATGAGGATGAGTTGGATAAGGAGGCATATGCCTTAATGGCTGATGTGGCATTGTCGTTAAAGAGCCTTCGCTTGTGAGATCAATGACTTGTGGGCTACAACTTGACTTTATATCACTCTAAGAGGAAATTAGTAAAACCATAAAAAATAAGTGCATAATAAATATAAGAATCTTGTGAGCTTCAACTGTTGAGCAAGCAAGGTTTACCAGGAGCTTAGCACTGCTGCATGAACACTTCTTGCAAAGTGTGCAAGAATTGATGAGGTGAGTGAGACAAGCTGGTGTCGGGTGTACAAGGGGTTCTAGCATAAAATTGAGCCTCCAAGGACACTAGTGGCCCCTCTTAGAGACACTTCATTGCACTGTCTTGTTCATCCATTGGATAAACAACATCTTGTCCTTCTATCAGTAGTTTTTGAGGAGTTTCAAGAACATATCCAATGTTAAGACTCCCAAAAGTCATTTTAAGCCTTTAAACAACACACAGGTTTGGGTCATAATGAAAGGATCTGTCATTTTTCACCAACTTAAATGGTTATTTGGTCATGGGTGGATACAGTGTAATTGGAAAACAATGACCTCCATTTTTTTTTCTGCTGAACCTTACATAGACCTTGCTTAGCTCACTGGCTACAAAGCTATGAGATGCTTGAAATTTTTCAACCATGGTTACTTCTTGACTTCCTGAAATATAGCTGAAACATGGCTTGGAGTATTAAAAGCAGAATAGTGTCCTGAACTAAATCCAGGGAAATTGTTAATTTTTAAAACAAAACAGATAAATTGTGTCAGTTATGCTTACAAGGTCAAGACTCTGAAGTGCCTAAGATATAAACTGAATGATCAGTAAGTGCCAAAAAAATTACTTTGTGAAGGGGGTACGTAAATATAATTACCTTGATGATAGTACTACAAGAAGCTCCAGGATGCTCTAATGGAGAAATTGGTTGCAAGCTGGGAATCAATTCTCTGGCCATATCATAACCAATCTGTACTTGAAAAACAAGTTATAAATTGTAGAAGCTTTCTTCTATCATGTTTGGCATGAAGCTAACTCTTACACAGTGAAATCAAACTACACTTGTTCAGTTATTTTCCATGAGGTCCCACCATGAAATATTTTCCACTGGTCCGGGTACCGGTAATAAAAATTAGCAGGGTTTCATACTTCTACTATAGATTACATCAGAAGTAATAGCTTTTTATGTAGGGGAATTATTACCTACCCACTGGACATGGAAAGTAACCCCAACTAATTTTAAAAGATTACAAGATGCTGACCACAAAAAAAAAAAAAAAAAATTGCCAAAACAATTTTCACAATAGCCTCACAGCAATGTATCCTACTCTTATCTCCACCTTGTGGACCACATTTGATCCCGCCAACTATTCTCAGACCCTTTTATTTGACTACTGACAAACCCAGGGGAAAAGGTGGCCAGGATTTGGTGAGATACCCCCAATCCCACTTGAGTTCCCAGGTGGAGGATTCTACCACCTGTTTATTACTGGGAAATCCCAGAGAGATCAGTCAAGCACATCAAAAAGCTGCAAACTGCATAGATGATTTTCCCCTTCATTTCTGTGTGTTGATTTACAACCAAAAAAACTCACTTACATATAGTTACATAAATTCTGTTGTTTACAGATTCTTTGAAGTGATAAAGTGATATGGACCCACTGTGTGAGAAAAACTTAAGCTCTGGATTCATTGGATGTTTTTGGGTACTAAAAAATATTATCCTCAACACTACACCAACCATAGAATAACTAAAAAAGATGCAACCAAAATTTTCTTGAAAAAAAAAAAAAACTTTTGCATTGTCAGTTGCGTAGCGGACACTGAACAGTTATTCTGTGAAGCAATCGAGTGAATCAGAGGGAAGCATCTTGAGGAGAAAAAAAAAATAATAAAGTGCGGAAAAGTGTAAAGGGCGTCCATTTCTAAAAGCAAACCCCATGGCTGTAATCTGTCTAAAGAGGAACCGCAGACAAAGTACTGAAACGTGATAGGTTGATGTAACCACAAACTTAAAAGGAATCTGGGGCCAAAAAAGTCTTGTACATATTTTTCCGTCTCTGAAAAACTGTAGGAATGATTTCAACTTACTAATGTGTGAAGATGCTGGGTTTCACTCACGCTTTCGAGATAACTTCTACTGCAACACATGATTCGACTATTCCGCTCTGATATTTACCGACAGGTCTCATTGCCGAGGGAGTTCTTTCTTCTTTTGATTTTGCCGCTAATTTGACGATTTTGCGACCAGGCGTGACGAACGCGCGTTCGCACGATTCCATTCGAATCTTTGATCAACGATTCGCAGTCAGCATCGTTTTAGAAATTTCAAAGTTACCGGGAAATGAAATTTTGTTCCTAAACTTACACTAAACGCGTAACGTCTCAAATAAGCAATATTGTCAGACCAAAAATGACTGAACCACAACGTCATCTCAAACAATTCCTTTTGACCTCTAATTTATGCATGAAAGAGGACAGCATGAAATGCTCCCCGCAAAGAAAATTTTTGGACTAAGAACTAGTTCCTGCATTTGCGCAAGTTTTCATGTTAATGGAAAAACATTTATTTAACCTGTAAGCGAAAAAAAAGTATTATGAGGAACATAGTAATGAAGTTCAAGGAAAACGACAAAGAAATGTACATACATCGACCCAGCTGAAGACAGGAATACCGCAAAACATTTACATATGGTTTTCCTCGGTAAAGCGTCGGCAGAACTGCAATCACTATTGTCAAATCGTTGTTTCACTCATAGAGAAATGTTTTTGAATCACTAAACTTCTTTTACTTCTCGAATCAACGCAAACAAATCGCAATAAACCTTCTCCACATCACTCCCCCTTATGCCTTTTTCCTCAATAAATCTTCGCAAACTTGGCATGTTTGAGCGCCAACAACTTTGTCACAAAATTACAGTTCAAAAGTTTAGTCTCTGCAAGATCGGAATTTATCGAGCGATGTTTCTTTTGAAGGGAACAATTGTGGGAACGGCAAAAAACAAAACTGCCGAGAGCAGAAAGCTTTTTCGCCTTCAACGAACTGGCTGTTACCTTGCCTTCAGTTCCGTGACTGAGCTACTGTTCATTGACAACCTCCTATGTTCGAAGAGAGTCTACGACAAGACTTCTATAAATTGAGCAACCTTTGGCAAAATCAGGACATAACCAATTAACCGATTCTCCGATCGATAGATAGAACCTAGTACTTGCTACTGAACTGGGCTCCCTAGACGGGAAACTCTCTTGCTTTGCCTCGCGAGCGACCCGACGCACGGTCAAAACGTGACGGAAAGAAACATAGTCGAAGCTTTGAAACAAACATCCAATGAAATACACAATCTTTCGCCTTCGCTCACACGAAAACAAGTACAGCACATTTAACATTCTTCACTGGTTCGATGCTCTTCGAATACCTTTGAAGATTAAAACCAGACCCACCTCTCGATACCGGGGTACGGTTGGTTCGCTGTTCGTCACAAGGTTCAAAGAATTGGTTATCGAGCCGATGCGTTTCACTGTTTCTTACTTTTCCGAAACTTTATAGCCCCAATCGTTTTCATCTTTTTGTTGTCAGTCCTATTGCTGTAGAAACTTCAATAAATCGTGCGTTATCTCTCTGAGCTGTTTCGGCCCAAATCGTCGTTTCCAATGAACGAATCTTAGAAATAAAAACATTTCCGCTTAAAATTCGATCGTTTGCTGTAGCCAGTTAACATATAGAGAAAACTGGAATGTTACTTTCAAAGAATTTATTCGTAATTCCAGATCACCTATAATATTTAATTTATGGAGATGACATTCTACTACATTGCTTTAGAAAGCAATAACAACAGACCGACATATGTTCATACCAAAAGGATCCTAAAATCTATCTACATAACCTACCTAAATGTTTGCTCTTCAGTTCTTAGTTTCCAGCCGTAAGTCCACGAATGAATCCACGATTGCTTGCTGAAATGATCGGATCTTCTTCAATCAACAGCCCTGAAAAGTTTCAGATCGGAATGGAAAAACGAGAAAAAGGAATATATTTACGAGAATGGACTACTTCTTGCACATGGGTTTGCGGTTCTTTGTGAAATCGATCAATGGAAAACCTCCCCTAGTCTTTGTTGACATTTGACATCATAGTCAGTCATATTGTGACGTCACTTGACACTTCTTGAAGCCCCAGCCCACTGAATGCATAATCACCTTGACTCGATATTGTCCTTCCGATCACCTACAGACCACATCCAAGCAAGTTTTCGTTGTGTTTGACGAATTTCATTCGCACGAATAATTATTTATGACATGCTGATTCTCTGATCGGTTGGGAAAAGTCAAATTTACAGGATATTCTCTTCGTAATTTTAGATATGCGTCACTTTGGATTAATTCATCTTCGTCCGGAGTACGTGTGAGGCGCCAAAGCTTTGTTGTTTTATCTCTTTGGTATGCTGCTTTAAACATGTTCAGAGCGAAAATTTGACTGAACAGCAAGATAAAGCAATATTACTGCTTTATACTTTGGTATTGGAAAAGAGTTTTTCTGAGCTCACTTCCGGTCTAATGAGGGGCGGAAAATTGTCGTAAAGAGAAATAGCTCATGGAAATAAGCCTTGCTTCGGGTTCAACAAAGTATTAATTAAAATCGTGTGTCGAGCCTGTGGATCACAGATCAATTGTATGGAGAAAAATTGTCTTCCTAATTCAAGGAGAAATTAGACGATTTGGCCGTGTTTTGGGCCGTTTTGCAAACTTGTAGACTGAGAATATTCTCGATCCTTACAGAATTTCCACAAAGAAATATTATCACCATTAACATAAAAAGTACTCACAGTGAAAGGTATGAATAATGCAAAAAGCGAGGCAAACATCCAGATTAGGGTTGTTTGGCACCTTCAGAAAAGCCCTTTGTTTCTCAGGGCCGATTATGATTGGCGCGTGACATCTGCCTGTCTCCCTTCCTTTTCAAGAACTAATCAACTTTTGGGCTTACAAATCAAAACAGGTCGCGGAACGACGCTGATATTTCCACATAAATCATAATTTTTGATAGAAATAGAGAAAGAAAGACCCCGGCACACATATCAAAGTTTCTGACAATCCCTACTATTCTGGATACAAAGCCCGCAGTCGAAACGAACAGCACTTGCGTGCATAGATGCGTATCGGCACAGTATCTAATATACGATCGCACACGGCTGTCGCCTCTGATTGTAATGCTTCTAAAAGAATGAAACACTTCCTGTAGTCTTCTCGCGATCTAAATATTGCCTAAGTGAGATGATGATAAAGTTTTCGGCGTTGCACAACGAAACCGAAAGCCAAACAAAAGTCCCTTTTCTAAATTTAGATTTCCCTTCTCTAACGTCATTCTACATCACATGATCAGGGTGTGGAGATCTTTTGGGCTCTGATTGGCTGTTGCTATAACAATTTTGACGTCCAAATTTCCCTGATTGGTTCTCCCCGAAAGGAATAAACCCAAACCCCACAAAACCATTATTTCCATAGCGTTGAAAGTTGGGAGAGTGCTAAGGCATTGACTTGGACTATTATTCGTGTGGCTGTGCAAAGGAGCTGTAAGATTAATTTGGAAAAAGAAGATTGGACTATAGAGAAGAGTGAAACTTACGAGAAGAGAAAAATAGTAGATTCAGCAGCAATCGCAAAGGAAAGAGAGCCATAAAGTGAAGATGACGTTCGGAACACAAATGGCACAAAGCCATCGCATTTCACCGAATAAGGACAGTAGTCACCACAAAAGTAAGTCGAAAAAGAACACAAGATTTCGAAATGATCGTTCCGTAAAAGTGAAATCAGTTCAGGAGCCTACTTCCGTTGTATTAGATTCAGGACTCACGGCTACTGTCAACATACCACGTCGACGACGAAGCGAAGACAGTAGCGACGCGGCGCTAATTCCTTATGCAGGGCCGAAATTTAGCAGTCCGCCTCATCCAAGTGTTCTTCCCAAACCGCCATCACATTGGATATCGTCTCCCATTCATAACCTTGACGGAGATTTTGCGGCGATGTCGCAACATCTGAGAATGCTGCTTCGAGTAGAATCTTAGTAAGCTTACTCAAAGACAGAGACAGCTAACGAAAGTGAAAGCGATTTCTAGTGTATAATTAAGTAGGACATACTTCATGGCAAATTTTGTATAAATTTGTATATTTGTAAATAAGAGGAAATTTATCAGACGTTCTAATTTTTAAATTGTATTAGGTTCGAGTTCACAACAGCTTAGCGATATTACGTGTAAAATTCATTTTGCTTTGTTTTTAATTTTTGTAGTTTGTACGTGTTTGATCGGTTCGATTTTAGTGTATTTTTTTCTTAACTTTCGACACAGGTAGAAAGTAGAATTTTCTGTCAAGTTTTAAAATGTTTCAACCTCAGAATGGTGCAAAAAGTAGTGTTAACGTTAAGTAGTAAGGTAGAAAATCGTATATTGTACACTGAACATTTGACGAAACATAAATAGGATAGGATAAGACTTACAAGAATCGCTCAACAACAGACTATTTCAATGGAAGAAAGGATTGATCAGCGCGGTGCATTTCCATATAGAGGAAGTATGAGGTACCAGAACATGGATTCATCTCCTTCCATAGATGTTAAACTATAGACAAGAATAGAGGACTGCCTGGACAACTAAAAATCAAAGAATGAAGCCAGCAAGACTGAAGAAAGGAAACGACTACACAACAAATCCTGACAAGACGACGACACACCGGCCCTCTTTAGGGCCACCCAAATCTGAAAAAGTCATAACCAGTAGTGAGATTTGTTGTGTAGAGAATTCTTACCAATGCACAGTATTCTTTCCCATCCTGTTCTTTCTCTGTAACTCTCTCTTCTTTTAGTGGCTTATTTACTCACTCTTCCCTTCTCCACAGAAAATGACAGTTCAAATTATAGACGGTCATAAATGTTTTTTCATGTCCAGCCTTGAAAGAAATTTTCCTAGATTTTTTCACCAAGACTAAAGATATTGGCTGTGCTAGATATTGAGATTGATATTAAAGAGCCTTGAAAACAATACAACCCTGAAACAAACTAAATTGGATAAAATCCAAAATCCAGCCCTGTGGGTGTTGATTAGAATATCCAATTTCCTGTCTCAAGTCCAAGATCCTAAAGCAAAATCATTTAAAATTCACTCCTGTCAGAACTGTCTGAAAGTAAACCTTAAGGTGACTGACCTTTCCTTCCTTAGGGAATGCGGAACAACTTAACTGATAATTCAACTACACTCTAGTGAGCACACCTTTGAGGGAGAACCCAGTGCAATTTGAAATTCAACATTTTTTTGTATAGTCATCACCACCAAGAGATAGGCTGAAAATAAAGAATTCTAACCCTGAACTAAAAGGTTTTAAGTTGTGTGAGGTGCCTAACCCCAAATTCTATCAATTACAACACACTTCACCAAAAGATGAATTCACATACCAACTTTCCTTGTCAGATTCTCAAACTGCTAAGTGCTACCTCAAACTTGACTTTACTTTTCCACTTGAATACTTCTTACTGCTCTTCGAAAATGCTTAGTGTTTAACACTAATTGCATTTTACTAAAGTAAATTAACAGACTATTGCATTGCACACAATTAGTTTAGTCTTTAACACCAATTGCACTTTACCAAAGTTAGTTAAAGGACTATTGCACTGCACATACTTGGCTAATCAGTACTTCAAGGTCATTTGCCCCAAACATTTTACATTCAGTTAAACACCTTTTTTTACAGGCAACTGACTTCTAAGTAATTCTAGTCTTCTCCTTTCACTCCATTAAGACTGCCCTGGCAAAAGCTTATCAGATTTCCATTCAACTTTTTCACAAGGCTTTGTTTGGTTACTACTTCCCCTTACATGTTTAACCTTTAACATAGCAAAGAACAAAATGTGGATCTGCTTACTTAGTGGCCCACAAACATTTACAGCAGGCTTCAAATCAAGAAAAGCAAAACATATGATTTCTCAATCTGATCTCAGAATTCAGAGTCCCAGATCTCCACAAGCCCAAGAATGAATGATTCATAATTTCAACTCCCACAGGTGATTAACATGTAACTTCCCCCATAGTAGCTTTACACTATCCAGAAAACAGGTAATAAGAATACTTTAAACTGTTGTCTTCATCTAACATCAAATTCTCACTACAAAATTACAAGGAAATGTGGCAGCTAGAGGGGAGAGTAAAAAATCAGTGCTTGGGAGTTGAAGGATTAAGGCAGTCCTTGGAACTACTTAGCAGTGAGATGGTGTCTTTGAGACCCTTGGTGTAAGCAGAGTTAGTTGGTGTAACCTGATTAACACTTTCATTGGTAGGTTGCTCCCTAGGTGCAAAATGCACCTATGTTAAGCAGGTGGACGAGGATGGAAAAATAGGAGCAAATAACTTAGCCTTCAAACAATGACTTCAAATATCAGGCTGGAGAAGACATCTACCCTGTGTATTATCAAAATTATAAAAATTGGCAGAACCAACAAAAAATCAAATCCAAGAAATAGCTTATCTTAAAACAAGATATTATACACTCTGATAACTATTGATATCACCCCAGGAGGTTACAAGATGCAAAATAAAGCAAACACTCTATTCAATATAAAACGTCATTTATAGTTTTGTACCACTAAAAGATTTATTACTACTTCTATTCATATTCAGTGTAGTTGATGAATATCATTAAGACACAACCACCATCCTGAGTCAAATAATACATGCTGCCAAATTTAAGTCAGCAAATATTCTTGACTGAGTGCTTACAAGGCTGTTTCTTGCCTCAATCAATGACAAAAAAATTCCACCAAAAAAAAAAGGGCTAAAGTTCATCAAGATGCAAATTTAAGTTGGACAGATAGTAAAGTTGAACTTCTGCTCAGATTCATGAATGCATATTCCTCCTAAAAGGATTACGAAGGTTTAGAATGAGAGAGCATCAAAAGCAAATACAAAGAAGGAAAAAAAATTGTCACCTTGTGTAAATGACAGGATGGGTTACCACATGATCTTAGCCTGTTCACATGGGAAAGGATAACCAACTCTAAAGATTGCAGGTGGAAAAGTACCCAGATTTGTTCTTCAACTCATTTACACAAATAAACTTTCCAGATTCAAAAGTGTTCCCATTGATGTTCCAACTTTAAAATTTTGGATTCAAAATCTCCGGAAACATGACCAGAGAAGGGAGGTTCTACTCTGAATTATCTACTAGTGCGTAAACAGCAAACAAATGTGATACTAAAACCAGCCATTCATCAAAGTATGAGAGGAAACAACTCAATCGACATTTCAAAGAATTGCTACATAAAAAATATATGGGGGTAGTTCAAATGTACATTTATTCCATGGTGACTTTGAAGAAGCCTGGAGATTTATGTCTCAATTAAGCATACTAAAACACTTAACAAAATAGTCTGATAAAATATAAACATCTAGATTCTCTTGTTTTATCAATACCTATTAATCGCAGGGAATTGCCTTAGAGATACAAAAATTCAAAAGTATTTCTATATTCATCATAGACAGAAATATCTAACTAATCCCTCTCAATCGTCCACATGGTCATTATCAATTGTTCTTTTGTAAATTACGCCACTTATCCTTAAGATTAACTGACGTTCGCCCAGCAAAGTTATACTTTCTCAGTATCTTTGCCCAGTTCCCTATGCCATATAATTCCACACCTTCTTCTAACCATCTTGTTTCCTCAGCACTCCAGAACTTCTTTGCTGGACCAACAGGGAGCTTCACATCAAGGCATCGTTTAGTTAGGGTAGGAAGTTCTGCAGAAGATAATTATTTCAAAAGACATTTTTGAAAACATTTGGAAGCAGTCTTTATACCTTACTTGTCACCATCACATCACAGATGACAATTCTCTTCCTCGGCTTTAAAAGCTATTTCTCTCCTTCCTCAAGCAGTGATTGACTGGCTCAGTTTTGACCCCAATGGTAAAAATTTTTATCTGATTTTAATTGTAAGAACCTGCTAAAATAAATCAAGATAAAGGCTGACAGATGGACATGATATCTCTTGAATATTGACTCTTAAATACTGATTATAATTTTCATTTCTCAAAAGAGGCTTTTGTAAGTAAAAATTCCTCAGAAGACAGTAAAAAGGTCTCTAGAAAGGAAAACAGACTACAATTGTAACTGTTGTACAACAATTACATACCACCTCAAGTACATTTCTGAATCGCTATGTCCCCCTCCTACCTCCCCCAAATGTAATTAGAAAACTCCCACTTCCATGAAACATAATAATAATAATAAATAATAAATAAATGACAATTTATATAGAGCCCTATCTGAAAGCTCTAAGGTGCTTCACAATCAAGGTAAAAAGTGAAATAATAATAAAATGTAATCAATCATTAAAATAACGCTTAAAAAGATAAGTTTTAAGATTATACTTAAAAGTGTTAAGATCTATACTACATTTTATGGTTTCAGGAATGTCATTCCACAACTTAGGTGCAGAGACAGGAAAGGCGCGATCGCCATAAGATTTCAACTTGGAGCAAGGAATCACTAACAAGTTCTCACTCGATGATCGCAAAGACCTAGTGGGCTTATAAGTTTCTAACAAGTCACTGATATAACTAGGGCATAAATTATTTCAATCTTTAAAAGTAAAAAATAAGATTTTAAAAATAATCCTCTGCTCCACGGGGAGCCAGTGCAGTTCCCTCAGTAAAGGAGTAACGTGATCATGCTTGCGACCACATAAGATCAGCTGTGCCACACAATTCTGGGCTAATTGCAATCTATGAACTAAATGTTTTGGAAGACCATACAACAGAGAATTACAGTTGTCTAATCTGCATGTAATGAAGGCATGTACTAATGCCTTAGTATTACTAACTGACAAAAACTTTCTAATCCGAGAAATATTCCGGATGTGAAAAAAATGCAGATTTACAAATAGCCGAAACTTGACGTGATAGATGATCAATGATAGATGATCAATTAATTTATTGACTTAATTCTTAATTATTAGTGATATTTTCTTGCACAATGGAACAGTTTCAATTACTTGTCTAGTAAACAGTATTTCATCAAATGAATCTACCTTGAACACTTTCATTGGTTTCACTATCAAACATCAGAGTGAGATAATAAGCTGGGAAGGTGTAGTCTGATTGTCTGGGTGAGTGTAGTCCTGAGAAGGACTGTTGTGGGTGGTAGTAACTGACGTTTCGACAACCAGACCAATCATGACCGACTTACGTCACTTGAGTTTTACAGCCAATAACATCATGGCAAAACCAACCGATCATTTCACACGAACTAGAATAAGAACATTCTACTGACAACAATCATTCACTTGACTCTGATGATGACTTCCGCACAGGTCGTCGAAACGTCAGTCACTACCACCAACAACAGTCCTTCTCAGGACTACACTCACCCGGACGATCAGACCACACCTTCACATGTTACCCCCGGGTTCAAACCATTTACTGCATAATAAGCTGGGTGACTTACTAATTGTCTTGTGCTTAAACACTGTTTCATTGTCATCATCTGAACTCCAATCTATTTCTTCAGCATCACTTTGGTTTTCATTATACCTTCTCTTTATTGTCTGTTTTTCTAAAGGTTTTCTCTCTCTTTTGTGTAGATTACTTCTACTGGAGCTAGAAATGCAAGGTAAACAACGACAATTATCATCACTATTCATGAATTATCAATTTGAATTTTCAGGATCTCTTTTCATTAACCACATCCAACTCTTGCTACCACGCAAATCAAAGCCCCCAAGAACCATAGCTCATAAGGGGCAGCTTTTTGCCTGAGAAAAGCCACCAAATACTCAGCTCATAGAAAAGGTACTTATTTCAAAAATAATTCCCTGTAATATCGAGCTTCTTGCAAACTTGTCAAGGAAGAACATTGACAAGGGTACCTGATGCATAATTTTGGTACAGAAAGAATGTGCCTGAGAAGAAATTAATTTTTCATTCTTTTTGTTTTCTCAAACCTTTTGATTAGTTAGATCTATCATAAAATGTGATGAAAGTCTAAATCAATCACACCAAAGGCTTTGGCAAAAGGACGATGCTGGTGAAGAAACATGTAAGACCTTCAAAGATTGTTCAAGAGCTTAAGGATTTACAAGTTTCATGCCCACTCCTTGACAATCAAGTGGCAGAGTCCTAACTCTCTGAAGTTAGAACAGCAAGAACCTTGAGCATATTTTAGGATCCTGCAGAGAATTGACCTTATTTTCTGAAGAACACATTTGGCAACATACAGATCTTTGAGGTATCAAAAGACACCAAACTTAACACATTACAAAATGATCAATAACCCCTCCCCCCCCCTCCCAAAACTTTTCACATGGAAAAAATTCATCTTCAAAATTACCCATGAACATTTAGAAGTGTAGTAAAGGATATTACCAAAAAACAAGAATTTAATAAGAAAGAAATCTTGAAGCACTTACAAAAGATTTTTAGATGATTGTTTCAACTTATTGATTACTACTTGACATTGCTGAATCCTCTCTGACACACTACTTCCTGCAGATATGCTACTTGCCTCTGCTTTGCTTTCCGTAACCTTGAGAAAGAAAGAAAGAATACCTTAGAACTGATTACTGTCACATTGGTAAAGAGGTAGGGTAGGAAGGACAGTTCAAGATCCAGGAACCCATCCTCCTGGTGCATTTTCAAGTTTCAGCAGCATGAAACAATAAAGTGTAGTGATACTTCCCTAAACCCCTCCCCTCCAACTTAAACAGCATGCCAATTCATGACAAAGTTACCCCTTTGGACTTTGTCAGTTCTCTCACATTTTCTCTGTACCCATTTATCGACACATGAGAACACAAGAAAACTTTGGAGTTGTGGTTTGAGATCACTTACTGGTAACAACATGTTTTTGTTGTACATGTCAGGGATATAAGCAATTGTTATGGTATTCTGGTCTCAAAAAATAGATGACCCAAGGACAAGGGTTTCTCACAAGCAGTACTACACAGTTAACATGTCATTGGTCCAAAGAAAAATGCCATAATCATACCTGTTGTTGAGGCAAAATTGAAGGTGCTGTTTTTGTCTTTCTGTTGGAAGAACCCTTCTCTCTGCCCATTATTTCTTTCAAATTGCTAATATCAGGATGGGTTCCTTCCACTATACTTTTCCAGTTTTCTTCAGCTTCATCTGATGTATCCCAAGCAAAGTAAAGGGCTTTTAAAGTTTTTGCATCTATCCTGGGCCTGCAAAAGCAAATTTGATTTTTACACTCATTCCACAGATTGATCACCAAACAAGGTTGGCATTCACTACTTTTTGTGCTAAACAAACAAAAATATCTGAGTACCCCATAAAAGAATTAAGCCCTAGACTTGCTTCTTTTTTCACCCAATGTTCTACCACTATGAAAAACTGCTTTAGAATATAATTATCTTTTCATTTGTGCTTAGAAATTACTAATTGTAGGCATGGCATAGCATCACCTCTACATGTACAATTACAGATTGCCACCATTTGGCTTGAAAAATATGCTTGGATATTTGTCTGCAGACATTTTTCTTTCTGTAAAGAGCAGAGCCTAAGGCCTAACATGAGAGGACATACCTTTCCTTGGTTGTATTCTCCAACAAAGGTACCTAGCATGAGCAACAATAAAAAGTAAAACTTTTAATAACAATATTGTATTCCACCAATCAAATTCCATTGTACTATATTAGATTTAACCCATCATGTGTCAATAGCCCAATTCCGAGTTGCCACATGTTTGGAGTCTGGTTCTGAAATTATGGCACAAGATTGAGGCTAAGTGCATAAAAATCTAACATGGACACTACTAATTCTTCTGTAGACAATGCAGCAGGTGAAGATTTCTCAAAATACAAAGTTGACAGTTTGAAAAAGTACTCAAAAGAGCGTAGCACTCAATTGGGTGATGGAGGTAAAGGGAAAAGGAAGGCAGAATTGGTCAATTTGTGCGAAAAAGCGGCAGAAATGAAGCAAGTGAAGCTTGAAGATACTGTCAAAGACTACAACAAGCTGCTCGAAGAGAAATTACAGACAGAGGATGGTAAACTTCCAGACCTAAGACCTTAACGGCTTGGACCAACAACTTTTCGGATATCCCGGAGTTTAAATTTGGAGATTTGTACAGCTATCTGGTGGGAAGAGGGGAATACTCTGAGGATAACTTTTGTTCTTTTAAAAGTATCTTGGGCTATAAGTTGTATCATGATGGCAATGTTATGGATTTGAGGTGTTGTCCTGTATTAGGAAAGTTGTCTTGCTAGTGGCTACAATAAATTACAAAGAGTTCCACAGGCTATCAACATTTGATCCGTCAGTTTTGCCAGGGTAAGAGGCAGATTTAATGAATTAAATAAACTATTTTATTCGTGTTTTTCTCGTTGCCATGTTCCCACCAATGGTGTAGCTCCGCTTTCTGCATATAAAACCACATACAACCCACAATTCCTCCATTCACTCTGATGAAGGGCTAATGCTCAAAATGTCAGCTTTTTTATTCATTATGGTGGCCAATTTACTATTTCAACTTAGTTGATATAACCAATTCTCAAGTTTTTAGGCTCACCTGCCTTTTCTTTCTTAGCTTCAGGTGCAAACTCTTTGTCTGCTCCACAGCAGAATTTTGACCATTTACGAAGTCTCACATCCAACAGAAAAGCAAAATACGAAAGATCTCCATGATTATGATTCCCATTTGTGTAGCAACCAAAAGAACAATAAACCATCTTATAAACAAAGCGATTAAGTGTGCATATTTTTCGCGCCATCAAGCAACACTTTGCACTTAGCATCACTCTCACTCCACAAGTTTGGCACCAGGGCTCTGTCATGTGAGACTTCAGAAATGGGCTATTGCTTTAAAACAATCTGCATTTTAATGCATATCCCAACCACATTATCCAACCCGACTGACCAAATTTTAACGTGGAATTAAATGTTTCTGTTAGTGAATTTCCAAGCAGATGTCACATGCTTTGACATTTTCTACCAATCAATTCAGTATTGGAAAACTGTTGAACCTGGGACTCATATCCTGGATTCCCAACAACTAGATAAAGCATATTGTATGAGAATTAAGAACTGGTGTTTACCTCTTCCAAAACTGGAATTTCAAACTTTTTCCATGCTGGGGTAAAAAACTTCTGAACTTGGTCGAGAAACTTTTCATATTTGTGTTTTCCCAAAAATGTCTCCTTGAATGTGTCATTTTCAGATTGAAACAATTCCCTGAGGTCATCTTGATACTCCTGTAAAAAAGGAAAAAAACCAGTCATACTTTTGGCTAGATCTACATTCATAAAAATTTGAGAGCAATATCTCAAAATATCATTGCTACAGTATCAGAGAAAACTCTGTATTGCGAATTATGTACTAAACATAACTCCTTAATAAGTGAAGTCTTTTCTGAAATGGAAAATTTTAAATGAGGACAGTAAAAAATACAACATGTGATTTTCTCCCCTTTTTATAAATGACAAACAGTCAGATTGATTGACAGATTTGATGAAAACCTGACAAAGATTTTTTTTAGAATAAATTTTGGATTAGTAGCTCAGCATCTTTCTTTTCTCAAGCAAATTGAGTAATATATCCAGTTAATAGTACAAAGTAGCTATAATTACATGTGACTTACTTCATCAAAACCACTCTCACTGTACAACCTACAATACAAGGTTTCAGCACCTTGAATGTCACCACATCTGTAAAATGATAAGATGACCTGTGAAAAAAAAGACGAGTTTTCATCAATCAATTAACTGTTGAACTATGTTGGAATTGTCTGTAGTACCATCTTATTTGAAAGCAGAGGAGGCAACATGGCCGAGCAGAGCCTACTGTCAAGGTGGCTAAAAAAAGGTTTTGTCATTAAATAGAACATCAACTCATATAGATATCCTGCTCTGTCAGTAATTACCTAGTGTGTCCCTGTGGCTAAAAGAAATAGCAAAGTGACCGCTATTTTTCCCCACTGAAATGCAGTCAGCATGTCAAGATTTATCTTTCTGGGAACTGATAAAACAATCTTGTCATACCATTTAGATGTACCATAAATTATCAAAATTAAGATGGTTCGGAATTTGAAGTTCCGCATGCTAAAATTTTGCTCTAAGATAACATCATGATAAGCTGTAAAGAATTCAAAAAGGAGGGTTAAGGTACGGTGGCCCAGAAGGCTCAACGCAAACAAAAAGTATACTGTAACAAATAAAAACTATACTGCAGCAAATAAAAAATATACTGCAGCAACTAAAAAATATACTGCAGCAAATAAAAAAATCAAAACGCAAAGAAAAAAAAGTACCGCAGCAAATAAAAAATGCAACACAAACAAAAAATACTGCAGCAAATAAAATACGCAATGCAAACAAAAAAAAAAAAGAAAACGCAAACAAAAAAATTGGAACGCAACGCCAAGGAAGACTGGGTAATAGTTCTTAGTTTCCCGCCAACACTCGTTCCATCCTTTGCTTGTTCACTTTCCAAAACCATGTTTTGCAGCGAACTCATGACAGTACCATGCTGCTCCTTTAAAAATTCGATAATAACTTTATTTTCATACCCTGGATGAAAGTAATCTTCTATAATCCTACGCAGATCGCTTTCGTCCATAACCAAAAACGAGTTCCAGTTCATGCTGTTTTGGCAGGAAACTAAGAACTATTATCCAGTCTTCCTTGGCGTTGCGTTCCAATTTTTTGTTTGCGTTTTCTTTTTTTTTGTTTGCATTGCATATTTTATTTGCTGCAGTATTTTTTGTTTGTGTTGCATTTTTTTATTTGCTGCGGTACTTTTTTTCTTTGCGTTTTGATTTTTTTTATTTGCTGCAGTATATTTTTATTTGCTGCAGTATATTTTTTATTTGCTGCAGTATATTTTTTGTTTGCGTTGAGCCTTCTGGGCACCGTATTAAGCTCATAAAGCTAACTTCAAGATCGAGACTCCACCACTTTAACCATTCTGAGTTGGACAGCATAAATTATGACTTCATAGCAGGCAAAACAATGAACTGTGAGTCTCTAATACACTTTAACATCAGAATGCATATTCTCCCTATGGTACTCTATACTTTTCCTAAGGTGCTGAGAAGGGGAATTCGTGTAACAATCAAGACCTCTTTTAGTTGGTGATCATTACCTACACTCGTGAAATTAGGTCAGTGTCAAGCTCAAGTGATCTTAAATCATAGCTCAACTAAGATACAAATTCATTACCTGTAACTTTAAACTGCTTTTCATATGAGACTTCTCCGCGTGAGAAAACGGAAAAATGCCTGTTACTTTTTCAAAGAATTTCAGACAATCCGGTCCCAGCATCCTTTTGTCGGTTTGTTCATCATCATCGGAGGGGGAATTTTCCTGACTTCCACCAACATCATCTTCTTGACGTTCCCACAATCCAATAATAAATCTAATACAATTGAGCTTATCTGAAAGTTCTCTTCGTACTTCAAGGTGTTGGCCGCTTAACAAGTAATCTGTACGAAAAAGCACATGTCAGTTCGTAAACACAGACAAGTTCACCAGTAATAAGTCAGTTATCTTATAGAAAGGAATTTCTGACTGAATTTATCCTCCTAAACTTACCCTGTAGAGCGTTTCTCCAGAAGTCAGAAAATGAGCGTTTCTCTTTGAATTCCTTCCAAAGCTGATAAACGCAATAATCTAGGAACCATTCCGAGGTAATTCCCAACAAGTCAGCCTTGAACGACGGTTTGCCCGCCATTTTGAGACTTATTGACCCCAGTCCACCTCGTCGGGAGAAATCCCATCATGCAATACGAAATCAACAAACGCTGTGCAGCGAGTTAGAGAAACACCCCAATGTTTTACACTAAAAAGGTTAATGCGAGTCTTGGAACGCGCCGGTAAATGAATCGCTACGTAAACTATGTCATTTTAATAGAATGTACCGGCGCATTACCGTCTTTTAGACAAATGAATAAAGGGGGTAAGTTTCTAAAGAAACTGTGGTGCTGCGTCGGTGGGGGTAACAAGGTAATTTGGTTATCAGATACAATGAAATATATGAAGTTCATATATTTTGAACTGCGGTATTAGATACACATGATGCACGATCCTCGCAGTAGATGGCGCTATTTAAGCAATAGCGAAAATCAGACCTGAAAAAAATCAGGCCAGTTGGCTTGTTAGCTCAATTGGTAGAGCGCTGCACTAGTATCGCAGAGGTCAGTGGTTTGAATCCCGTACAGGCCTGATTTTTTTCAGGTCTGATTTTCGCTATTGCTTAAATAGCGCCATCTGCTGCGAGGATCGTGCATCATATGTGATTTAGTTATGTCAACGAAGTTGAAATTGTAAATTGGCCACCGTAAAGAGTTAAAAAGCTGATGTTTCAAGCGTTAGCCCTTCGTCAGAGCGAATGGCGTTCGCTCTGACGAAGGGCTAACACTCGAAACGTCAGCTTTTTAACTCTTTACGGTGGCCAATTTACAATTTCAATTTAGTTGATATAGCCAAATTATATTTTAGGTACCCCAATCTAAAGCCCACTTCTAACGTCCTCTAATTAAACAGCTGGTGTTGATCCGAAATGACAGAGCAAGGATTAACTCAGCCGTTCTAAAATCTACACTAATACAATAAACCAAAACGAACAGATCATAATTATATTTTTTATTCGACTATTTTAAATATTTATCTTGTATTTTTAATATTCCGTAAGATTTGAAAATCTACGTGAGCGCAGCTCGGCTAGAGGGAATTACTTGAACAGATTTTGGTTTCTTTTAAATTCGCTTACGCCAAACTTTCCACTTACTAAACAAACTGTAATTTAAGGGGACTGCGATCACACACAGACAGTATTTCGGACAAAATCAAGATATTCATATCGAGCGAAAAGCGTTTTTCGACCCCTCTTTCGTGGTCGATGACCATATGTTACCAAAAGCCACTGCGAGCATCGCAGTGAGGATCCTTGTACTGAAGAGTGAGATAAGCTTAGGCCGTTGCCATGAACAGTCAAACTAAACTTTAGCCGCCCACTTAACCAAGTAAAGAAATCAGCCATCGAGCCAAACATGATTCCCTTTAAGAAATGGAATTATAGAAATTATAACGTTTCAAAAGATAAATAATGGGCAAAATAATGAACTACAAAAGAAAAGCATCTTACAAAAGCCAATTCTGTAACGAGAGCAATATAAGCCTTGAACATGTTCTCAAAATGTACACGACTAGACTTCTTTGACCTTTGAAACAAAAGGTTTACACGACGATGAACTAAAGAATAAATTTTTTGAGTAAGGACAAGTTCAATGAATAATTCTTTCACAAAAACACATTAAATAAAAGTTACGGAGTGTGAAAACTTATCGAAAAACACATATCTCTTGTGCTGGAAACACTTGATAAATTTCTTTAAAGCTGCATTTTTCAATTCAGTCTACAGTAATCCGATGAATGTTTGGAGGACCAGTCTCGAAAAAGTTTGTAATAATACTGTCTAATACCTAGGCACACGACCTTTTATTTCCACTTGGAAACAAAATGCATGTCAAACCGATAATTTTTGCGTGGACGCGAACGTTCAAATCGAGTCTATCAATTGCATTCCAAGAGGCACGATCTGCCGCATCATGTAAATGTAAGAAGGCACACTTAGAAACTGGTTCTTCAGTTTCAGTTAAGTTTTAATGGAAACTCTTTCAAGTTCTCACCCATGTCCTACCAAATGTAACCCCATCAAGAATCGTGATTGCAACCTTTTCTCACAAGTGTGGACAAATAGCATATCTCAAGAATTCTGATTGGCTCAGTACTACCCTGGTCGTCCGACTGCTGTGATAAGTGTCTACACCTTCGGCTAACTGGTTGAACTTGGCATTAGTAATAATGCTAAGGAGCCCAGAATGCACTATAAAACTGTCGAAATCTCTAGTCTCCTCTTAGGAAATGGACTTGTGTACACCACTTTCATAAATGGCTGCCGGATTAACATTCTTTTGTTTAAATTTAAATTAGCCCTACTTGCCTCGTTCTCCAGTATAAAATTCAAAAGAAGACATTATCTCAAGCGAGGCCAGAAGGGCTAATTTAAATTTAAAAAAAAGAATATTTATACGGCAGCCATTTATGAAAGTGGTCCATGCGACAACTTAATCTCACAATGATTAAATCACTGGTCAGTTCTAAATTGCTGTCTTTAAATTTAGTGTTTCATATCTCAGATCGTTTCTCGCCTTCTTAGATTCATAACTGATCGACTGACCCCTAGCCAAACGTTCAATTGAACTACTTTGTTCCCTTGTCTGGCAAATGATTAATTCCAGAAGGAAATTATATAACACATGTCACAAATAAAACCTTTTGAAACAATGAATGCACAATTACACTGAACAAGAACTGTACAGAAACTATAGAGATATAATAGAACTAAGTAGATCCAGATGATGATTTACTGGAAAGATTGTCCTCTGGGGTTTTCTCTCCGTCAATTTGGATCTCCCCAGGCTCCTCTTCTGATTCCTTATTCGACGTTACTGGGGAGATTGGGTAATCGCTTCCATTTCTGGCATAAAACAGTTGCTGTTCGCGTTCCTCGCGCGCGAATTCCTCTTCGAGAACCTGGTGAAATAAAACGTAAAAACATTGTGTAAATTAGGACGAAACAAAATCTATCTTAAAAAGAGCAAGGAAAAGCTCTCCCAGAAAAAAACACGAAGATGAACACAGAAAAATAGATAGATTTAGCAAGAGGACGGGAACGTCATTTCAGAACGAGAGAGCGCGCGGAATAGTCTGGACACGACACCATTCGACTTCCGGTGTTAGCGTTGCCGTTCTCAAACAAGTTCAGGACGTCATTTCGCTGGTTTTCCCGTCGCGATCAGAACGTCAGAGATTTGCGTAAATTGTGCTCATGTAAATCGATGCAAACGAGATAATACTGTTTGGAAGTACTTCAAAACTCATCTCCAGGATAATTAAGTCCTTTTCTTTGTTTTAATCGGTGTATTTGTGAAAATTTACCTCGACAATTTGCTGGATTCCCGAAAGGAAATTAGAACACAATCATAGACAAGCGATCCAAGATTTCTGGACTCAGTTGGCTTTTGAATGAGCAAGGATTTAGACAATAAAAGGGCTTTTCTTTAATACTTTTTCTTTAACCCTATATAAAAGCTCCAAGAATGGGATGCGGCTGAATTTTATCGCAAATCAATTCATCAATAACCATGCTGCATGTTGAAGTTTAGGGAAGTCAATGAAATGAAATATCATGAAACTTAAACACCGTACTATTTTTCTATTTGTTGTCGTTGTCGTTTTTACCGATCATGAATGAATACTTTATGGATTGAAGTCAGAGATAAACGACTTGAGAATTTGCTTGGGTTAGCACTTTTTAAGTCTTAAACTTTTTTAATCAGCGCCGATGAAAACAAGAAAGTCGTGCTCACGCAACTAAAGAAAATGACAATCAATTTTATTTCGACACGACTTTCCAAATCAAGTAATTTAATTCAGTCTTGAATGACTCCGTTAAAAAAAGAAGAAACAAAACAAAACAAACAAACAAAGAAACAGAAACGAAGTCTTATTCCTAAGCCTAACCGTTTCCTGGGTTACTTGTTTGAGTTCAATTCATTCTTTCAGCTTAGACAAGAGCTCATCGTAAACAACTTCGTCGTTTGGGTCTCTTGGTTTCTACATGATTTCGCCATGACCCCGTTCAAAATGCATTGCATCTCTAAGTAGTCAATGTTCAAAAGAGATGTACCATCATGAATGAGTAGCAAACAAGGGTGGAAACGATGGCGATTTCCAAATTATACTTTATAAATCTCAGTATGTAGAAAGATGAGCAGTGCCAAAATCTAGTGGCACGAAACGAAATGACAGCAACACAAATCGCAGAAAAAACTATCCAGTAGGCTCTAAAATTTGACAGATGAATCAACAGACACGAGTCTTACCTGGAATGGAGCAATTATAAAGTTTAATCGCCCATGTGGATACATATAGTAACATCTAACTAGCCGTAACTATAATTTATCCTTTGTTTGCGCTTGTTGCATAACTCTCAAAGAGCATAGTTTCGTTGTCCTTAAAGCTGTTTGTGAAACCGAAAATTTGTATTGGCGATCTTTAAAAAACCGAGTTTAGGCTCGAGTTTAGGCTATTCAACAACAAATATTGTGTTTACGTCTCGTTGCAACGACTATACCCTGCTGGCAGAGCCGTTTATTTGTTACGTGGACCGTAGGGGAAGTTAACAAATAAACGCCTCTGCCAGCAGGGTACAACGACTATCGACTGCTAAGTCACTTCTGAAACACAATGGGGCGACGTTCTCGACCCAGTTTCTTATCGGTATTTTTGCTGCGCGCCGTTGTCAACTGACATTCCCGTCCTCTTGCTAAATCCATCTAATGTCCTAAGAAGAGTTACGCACGTCTCTTTGAAACTTTAAGTCTAAAGTGAACAATTTTTTTAAACCAAATCGTCTGTCTATTGAAAATCAACTATAAACGCCTATAGAGTACCGCGTTTTCGATAACTGTCAAGCATATGCAGGAAGAATGACTTAGCCACGCCTTACCTTTTTTCGTGGACCAAGTTCAGCTTTCCAGGTCTCTAATTGAGTTTGATGCTTTTCGTCGCGTTCTTTTAACTTCATTGTTTCGCTCTCCATTAACATGTGACGCTTCTCGTTCTGCAGAACCAATCAATCATACGAAATCCTTTTAAATTTTAAATCTTTTTGTGTTTTTTCAGTTTCCATCCTGGCCCGGGAGACTAAAGCGCATTAAGATTAAATGTTGAGCAACCAAAACCAAGGTAATCACAAAGCAGGTCAAAATGAAAATATATCCAGGGATAACAAATCATGGAGACCCAAAGAAAAATAAGCAAACCCTGGAAGTGCAGACTTTCCATCTTACAAGCCAACTTTGTTCGACCAATCATCGAACGTATGCAATCCTAAAATACTTCAAACAATCAAATTAAAATTACTCATAATGATCATGATCTGCAGTGACTGTCATGTTATACCTGTGTGCAATGTGCAGTCAACAGTTCATCACAAATTATTCTGTTGAACCTTTTTCCCTACGAAGGAATAACAAGCACATTTCTCCTTTCCTTTCGAAGTGATACTGTTTCCCAGTTCGTATTCCTTTGCAAGATGACAGAGGGTCAAAAACTACTAACCTGTAACAGTAACAACTCCTTAAGAGCAGATTCAGAGGAGACACGCAGCTCCTCCACCTCCATTTCTTGTCGGAATATCAATTTATCATACTCTGATCGAGCCTTTTTCCGTTCCTGCAATTCAAACTAAAAACAAACGAAGGAAACAACAACTAAGTCCACCGCTTTTTCCCTTGTTTTCTGTTGATAAAATGACACCTTCATCTAACTAAGATCACTTTATATTTAGATATCAATAACTGAAATGATGTTAGTTTTAAACGACCACTCATCATATTACCTCTTTCATTAATTCTCGCTCAATATCCATTGAAAATCTCTTTTCTATCCTCAAAGACTTGCGGTACTGCTGGGTCTTAGACTTGATTTCTTCCCGTTGTATCTTGGGAAGCCGTTTCCGTTCGATCTCATGACGTCTCTTCATTTCCTCTTCTTTCAGTTTGGTTAGACGATTGTGTTGCTCCACTTCCTGAAATAAATTGCGAAAGATCATACACACAGTAACTGTTTTCAAACAAGGAGTAACAATTGATCGGTTAAGCTGATACTCTGGGCGCGAGTATCTAGAGAAGGACTGCAGTCGGCGAGAGTGACTGACATGTCGATACCTTGAGCGGAAGTCATCGTCAGAGTGAAGTGAAGACTGAGTTGTTTGACAGACGGGTGTTGAGTCTAATTCATGGAAATTGACTTGTTAGTTTTGCTGTAGAAAATCTCCTTCGTTTTTAAATTTCCTTTCCCCCCTCTGATATTCTATTTTCTATTCACGTGCGGCGCACATGATTTTATAAGTTAGCCAATCACGTCAAAGAACTCTAACTTTTGTTGTTTACTTTACGGAGTTATTTTCAGTATTTTTTAGCTTTCGTTACCCCTTTGCTTGGAAATTTGAGAAGTTTCGGAATAATGACTACGCCAAATGTTGTGGATAATGAAACAACTTCAATATGTATTTTTCTACAGAATTTGGATGCTAGCCTCTTTTACGTAAATAGATTTTTTACATTGGCTGTGATGTTACTGGCTGTAAGACTCAGGTAGCGTGACTCAGTTTTAAGCTAGTTTCGATCAGTCGGTAAGTTAGCTCGTTCTGATCGGTTCGTTCGTGGTCCTGCATAGCTGGAGTAGATAAAGCTGGCTGGGCCCCCTAACAATTTAATTCTTTTAGAACCTTACAGTGAACGCTACAAACAAAAAAATCTCCTTCGAGCATTGTTCTACACCATTCACGAGACCAAAACTGAAATTACATCACTATGTAAATTCTCTGACCTTCTGATGCCTGTTCAGCATCTGTGATCGCTGCAAGAAGAAAGTTTCCTTCAGTTGTGTTCTGGCCAACTGATGTCTGTCCTGCAGTTGTCGCTGCTCAATTTCCCACAAATCTGACTCGTGCCCTGCAAACAAAACGACACGATCCCCAATGCTTAGTTGAGAGTGATTTAATTCAGAAATTGATCGTGTCCTCAATGAACAAGGACGCGCAAGCTGCAGTACCCCCGAAAAAATTTATGAACGAATTATGGAGCAATCGGTACGAGTCAAAACCAGAAACATATAGAAGCACATAGGGAGATCACGAACGCATTTGAAACTGACAAACGAGTAATGCTCCCTAGTACGTTTTAAGTGTACTTGACAAAAATTTTCTTTTTGCATAGTTTCCTTCCTTGACACATGTAATAAATGAATAATGAATTGAAAATGAAAACAAAAAAAAATGCGATGACTTTTTGCGGCCAAAATACGGCCAAGTTACCGAAAAAAAATGTCCCGGGAAACTGAGAATTATGTCTATGACATCGATATGTTTGAAAACATTACTGTCTTAGGACGCCGTCTTGTCATTTTCTTGCACACAGCTTCAAATGCGCAAGCGATTTGTCAGCTAGTACCGCTTATTTTGGTTTATCTAGGTTTATTTACCAAACACAGTCTCGTCACAGACGTAAACCATGTGACATTTTGGCCGCGCGATATCTGGGATGATTTCCACAGGAAAGTAGCGCGTGTTTTGAACGAATAAAAGGCGTTTCAAAATATTTTAACGATCTATAAACTTAATGACCTTTTCTCTAACATTATAAGCGACGAAAATCAACAGAAAAAATTTAATTCATATACAATTCACAGAGACAATTTTCAAACAAGAAACGTACCTCTCTTTAGAGCGTGCTTCGCCTTTAGGAACTGCATTTCCAGGCTGTACATCTTCTCACGATGTAATTCAATCAGCTCTTTCGTGAATCTTTCAAAATCCGCCTGTTGCATGGCTAGAAATTCGTGTTCCTAAAGACAGGAAACACACCATCACTACGGCTACACGTTAGCTCCCTAAACCTGGAAGAATGTTGCTTTTTGCAGGGACTTGCTTCGCGACACTTTAACCCGAATGGAAACAAGGGTTTATCTCAATATTGAATAGGTTGAGAATTCTTCTTCAGTTTTCATACTGCTTAATGTCAAATTGTTCTTCTAACAGAGCCCACAGTTTCTTTCTTACAGCTGCCAGTTTCAATAGATGTCTGTCATCTTCAAAAAAAAAACATCTTAAGGTGTGAACTTGAAAATCTTAATGAAGGCCAAAAAACAATTTATCCTTAGATTTTAAAAAGATGGTTCAGAGCTATCGAAACTGGCAACTGTGGGCTATCTTTATAAAGAAGAATTTTGTATTAGTACTGTACTTAAGTCTAATGAATTTCTTAAAGTAATTGTCGTACTTACAGCTTGTCGCTGTGAGACTTCTACTTCATCTCTCTTCTTTCTCCAACTCTCCTTCCTTAGATTCCTTGGCAGCTGATCCACCTTAAACAGAATCATAGGAAATAAAAGGAATATCCATCGATATAACGAAGGCATTTCTAAAACTTAAGCTGCTATAAAGCGCGTCTCATTTGACCAAGGAGAGTCTTTCCTTCAGAAACAATGGGTTTGCTATCAAGGTAATTTTTTCCTCACTATAAGTAGTACATAAAACCCAATTAAAATACTCATAAATGAGTAAACCATAACATAACAGCTATTACAGTATGTTCCTTTCACTTCCACGAAAATCAGACGATTCAGTAAAAGACTTGTTCAGTTTTCAAACCTCTTTCTTGGCAGATTTGAGTTCCTCTTTGAGGTTCTCTTTGAATTTCTTGAGGTCTTTTTCCTGAGAGCAAGAAAGCAGTGACTGTGAGACACAAGTGTAATCTCTCGTCGCCTTACCAATTGTCACGTCACACGTCACACGTTACACGTCACACATACAATTGGGTTTTATGGTTGAGAGACGCTTCAAGAGAGGATCAGGCTAAAGTCGTGTTCTCTTAGGATCAACTGTTAGGTTGTCCGAGGTTTTATTTGTTCTCTTGGATAAGAAAACAGTTTCTGGTTGATTTTTATCGATCAACTTTTCCAACTGGTATCGAACCATGTTGAAACGGTTAATAAAGTATTGAGAGATCGCTGTCGTTCTTGCCGGCTTAACGAAGTCTAGCGCTAGCTTCAGTTCCCGGTCGTTACACTCGCAATAAATAGAGAAGAAATACAATGTCATTACACCGGATATGGAACAAAAAAATGCGAATTCGTAAAAGTGCAATAAGGAGAAAGCAGAAAAAATAGGGCTACAAGACTAAAATCAGTGTTCCCTTTTCTCCCCTCCCCTTAAAGGCGCGGAAAAGTCTTACAATGACTACTCCCAGGGGCTTCCGAGTCCCAACTGAACAGTTTAAAAGAGCGTACAATCGGAAAACTTCAACTCCTCGACCTAAAAACGGTTGTGATTGAAACACAAGAGCTAAGAGAATGAATCTCAAAATTTACCTGGTCTTGTTTCATCTTGCGCGAGGAAGTACGAAGGTCCGCATTCTGTGCGATCTCTAGTTTTTCTATGTCTTTCTTTTGATTCCTACTTGAAGTGTCCAAATCTACCTCAAACTTCTTTTCCAATTCCTACAAAGACGATAAATTTAGTTAACATGTGGAATACTCCCTACAAAAAGTAGTCTCTTGCTTTCAAAAAGGAAAACATCTCCTGCGTAAAAGAGGTATCATTTAAAATTAATCAACGTAGCAATTTTAGTATCTAAAGGATTATTTATATGGCACCTGCAGCTCCTGTTCAAATCGTTGTTCCTGAGCATCCCACTGGCGGCGAATTTTGGCCATAAGTAGTATTCCTTGTTTCTGTTCTTCGCGTTGGAGGATCTTCATCTCACGAAGATTCACTTTTCTAGGAAATAGACGTGAAAGAGACGTAAGTGGCCCTCGCCTTCGAGATAACTCTCCCTCAAGTAGGTACGCCCAAGAAGAGCTCGACCAAAACTCAACTCCTTCTACATTAATTCGCTCACAAGTAAACAGATTACTACTAGCTGAGCGAAAAATATGGTAAGCTTCCTTAGGTATATCCATCACGACTACCCCTTAAAAAATTTGCAGCAAATCTTTAATTCTCAGTCACACTCGTTTTCAGTACCTTTGTTGCTGTTCTTTCATCAGTGCATTCCTGTAGTCATCCTGACTCACATCTACAACTCGTGATGTGGTCTCCGTCACTATCTTGCCATCTTTCTCATACTTACGGATCCTTTTCAATGTTTTGAAACTTTTCTCCTCCTGGCCCTAGATGATGATAAGTAAAAATTCAACGGGAGGCTAACAACCCCTGCTATAAACTAAAAATACTGTAATTTATATTTCAAGTAGAGGGCACAATCCGGGACAACAGCCTGAGTAAGATATCTCGATCCTTGGGTCTAATCAGTCCCAGTAAGAAAACATATCATACAGCTAGATAATTTTGTTTTATCAACTGAGTTGATAATGTAAATTGGTCACCGGCTCGGTAAATATCCACCACTAACCACCTCCACTTCGGTGAATAGTTGTTTTAGTATATACTAAAACAGTGACATAATATACACCACCAAAAACTGATTTGAGTGATTTCTTCGCTTGTCACGGATGCAAACCGGGACGCCATTTTTCCCGAGTTGCTTGGGGGTGAATAGCAAAGGATATTCGGAGTTTGACTAGCCAATCAGAGCGCGCCTTCGACGCTATCCACTGTTTTAGTATATACTAATACACATTTTCAACTCAGTTTATAAAGCCAAATTATCTTGTTATACTCCCCCATCGATGCAGCACCACTTTTTCTTTGGAAATTTACCCTCTTTAAACACACAAGTAGTCTCTTCTGCAGACGTTCTTTGGGATGTCATGTAACGCTCCAGAGAGCATTGTTTAACAAAGATTGTGTTTCAAAGAATGGCTGCAAATGTTTTACAACAAGCTTCAAAAAGGGCGATCCAAAAAAACCCTGTAGACTAGAAAGATTTAACATTCAACTAACTTACATCCGTAGTTTCTGATTTCTCTTCAGTGCGATTAGACGCTTCGTTGTCCTTCTTCACGGGTTGAACTAACACGTCGCCATTTGATAAAGGAATCTTTTCATTTGCATCTAAAATCAGTTCACCTTTTAGTTCAGTTTTGTTTTCAGTCTGTTCACCTTCCTTGTCCTCGTCGTTCATTTCCTCTGTTTCTTTCTCCTCCACTTCTGTGGCTGTTTCCTCAGCGTCATTTGATTTCTCTTCATCTTTCTTTTCTTCATCTTTCTTTTCTTCATCTAACTGACCTGTCGTTTCTTCTTCCCTCTGCTTTTCACTCTCTTCCGGTTTTTCTTTATCTTGCGGAACTAATGGTTCTACTACTTCGCCTACTGAAGCTCCTTCGTCTTCCTCTAACTTGTCTAAGATGTTGTCTAAGCGCGTAGAATACTTATCAGGTAGTTGCTGTCCTTCTTTTTTTGTTACTTTTGCTGGTTCATTACTTTCTTTAACAACTACCACGGCTTCACCCTCCTCCGATGTGGGTTCCTCCTTCGCCTCCTCAGTAGTAACTGCTTTCCCATCTTCCACTTCTTTCGCTTCAGTATCGTTTGCTCTCTCTTCAGCATCTTCTGTTACAACTTCAGGTAATTCTTTATCTTTCTCTGCACTTTCCTCGAGTTTCTCTTCAATTTCTTCTTTCTTTTCTTCTGTTTCCTCTCTACTTTCTGAAACTTCCTCCTTTGTTTCTTCATCATCTTGGATTTGTTCTACCGCTTCCTCTGTCTCGGCTTGACCTTCTTCTCTCTTTACTTCAGCATCTTGTGCTTCCGTTTCAGCTTCATCCTTCGTCTCTCCAGCTTCCTCTATCTTCACCTCAACTTCCTCCTCCTTCTTCTCAAGTTCTTCTTTCCCTTCTTCCTCTTTCGCTTCCTTGTCATCTGAAACTTCTGTTTTTTCTTCCACTGCATCCTCTTGGTTCTCCAAGGGTCCCTCTTCTTTACTACTTTCTTCTTCTGGCTTTTGTTCTTCCTTCGTTTCCCCTACATCTGCTATTTCCCCCTCTTTCTCTAGTAACTTTTCATCTCCTTCTTCTTTCTTTTCCTCTCCATTTTCCTTGAGTTCTTCATCACCTTTCTCTGTCCCATCCCCTTTCTCAGTATCTTTTTCCTTCTCTGTAGATTCTTCCAGCTCACTCACTGTCTCGTCTTTCTCCTTATCCAAGTCCTTTGAACCTGTTTCGCTAAACAGTTCTTCATTTTCGTCCAAAGACTCGGTAGATTCTGTTGACTTCAAGGCTTCTTTATCTCTCTTCTAAGTTGGGAAAAATCATGACCAAAAAGTGAATTAAAAAAAGTTGATCGGTCAGAAATTTCTCTCGGGTACTAAGACACAAAACAAGACGAGCGAAAATATTGATTTATGTCTTTCATAAGAATTTACAAAATACTTCAAATAAATCTTTCAACTTTCACCAAAGTCGAGAAAAAAAAAACACACACACACGAAAATAAGTTTTGGTTCCACTAACGGCATTCTGTATCACTCTTTGTCAACTTCACATAGAGTACAAGGCGTCTGCCCAACGTCACTCTATGGGCCAGTCCATTGGCTATTGGCTATGGGCCAGTCCATTGGCTATTGGCTATGGGCCAGTCCATTGGCTATTGGCTATGGGCCAGTCCATTGGCTATTGGCTATGGGCCAGTCAATTGGCTATTTTTAGGTTCCACGACCCATGTTCACTTGGGTCATAATAAATCAAGGGAATTATTAAGTCCATGTCTAGGACTTATGCTTTCGTTTCACAATGATGTTGGATGATGATCCATATCATCAGATAGAACTGCACCCTTAATGAGTCAGCATACTGTGAGCATACATATGCCTCTCCTAATGAATATTTGCATTTACAAAAGTAAATCAAATGAATAAAACAGCACCTCTTTATCTTCAGGCAGGTCTTCAAATTCCTCAATCACAACAGCCTTGGCTTCGTTGTAGAGTTCTTTCAGTGGTTTATTGTCAACACAGTTAACAATAAAAGGATGCTGCAGGAAAGTCGAATGATTCTCTGGATTACTAACACTTTACACCCTAACATCCTTAAGCATATTCTCCATACAAGGATAATTCGTTTAACAATTGAGGATCATTTCCTTTATTCTTGTAACCTTAAAGTGTGGTTCAAAGGTGATTTTGTAAGAAGAAATAAGATGCTAGTCACTTGAAATGAAGAGTTCAATTTCACAATTTTTATCACATCTGCATTCTATCATTTTCCATAAAAAATGTTTTTCCTTCAAACACATATTACATGTACAATGAATATATGAAGTTCATATATTTTGAACTGCGGTATTAAATATATATGATGCACGATCCTTCGCAGTAGATAGCGCTATTTGTGCAATAGCGAAAATCAGACCTGAAAAAAATCAGGCCTGTACGGGATTCGAACCACTGACCTGCACTAGTATCGCAGAGGTAAGTGGTTCAAATCCCGTACAGGCCTGATTTTTTTCAGGTCTGATTTTCGCTATTGCACAAATAACGCTATCTACTGCGAAGGATCGTGCATCATACGTACATATTACATGTATAACTATATAGATTATGTTAACTTGGCTTCTCACCTCCAGTAAATCTGCTGCTGATGATCGCATTTCAGGGGATTTCACCACACAGAGAGACAGAAAGTCATGAAAATCCTTGGACCTAACCAAAGAAAAAAATTAAAGCAGTTTGTGGAATGTAGAGAAAGTGAAGAATCTTTCACAATAACTTTGTAACAACATAACACTACTTTTGCAAACGCAAGACCTGAAAGTAAAGTCTAACTTCTGTAGAAGAAAAGCAAACCATACATGTATATAATCATATAAAGTAAAAGTTTACCACAAAAAATATATATTAAGTACCAAGAAAGATTGTTTAGAGTGTCAATGACAACACTTGCCTCCCACTAAAAGCCACTGTTCCCCTGACTGACAATGTGCCTAATGGCCCATCACCCTTTCCCACCCCACCCAATGACCTTACTTACCATCTGTTTTTAAACTGCAGTGTAGGGGGGTCAGCTTTAGGTATTTTGAATAACACCCTCATAGGATGCATGTCATGGTAAGGAGGTTGCATCTCAGCCAGTTCAATGAGTGTAACACCAGCAGACCAAATATCAGCCTTAAACAAAAGTCAAGAAATTTAAATTCAGCAAGGTAATGGTCTTTCAACTTCCCTGAATGTTCTAACCCAAACCCTGTAGGGGAGGTGGGGGAAGGGGACATGGGGAGGGAAAAGGGGCTTTCTAAGAGCACTTTTGTTATTAAAAGTTATCATGGCATATGAAGGAGAAGTCATATATGGAAGAACATGAGGTAAACTCAATGACATAATTAAACCTTCCAAAGTGACACTATGGCTTTCAGAAAAATCTAAAATAGTCTTTTACCACAGAGCAGTACATTTGTTTTTAACATTTCAGAACTAAAAAACTACACATTTTAAAAATCTATTTCATTTGTGCACCTAATTGTGTTTAGTAGCTGGATGTTTGAAGTATTTTGAACAGTTCAGGGTAGTGCATACCACAGTTCACGCAAAAGATGAGATCAACATTACCTTGTAGTCATAGGGGTCATCCTTGCATGTCTCTGTAACAATAACTTCAGGAGCCATCCTAAAAAATTAGCATTTACCAATTATTGTAAATTATCTCAAGTCTCTTGGCATGCCTTACTCTAGAATATTGTTATTACTTGCTGCTGAACTGGGCCAGCCTGATGAAATACTGCTGATAAATAAATAAACATTTAAATGAGTTTTCTCCTTTGCTATCGCTGGACTCTGAGAGCCTTGCTCTCAAGAAATATAGGCATACATGGTTAACATCTGAGGGGCCCCTATTTTAGCCATAAAAGTTCAAATTTCCCATGATTTCTTCAAGGAGCTACATCACAACAAATTCCACACCTATTGCATAAAAAATACTTCAAAACAGAACTTCTTGCAATGAATGAAGTAACATGGGTTGCACGATCCACGACGTAGCACTTGGTTAAATATAACACAGTTTACTTGACTCGAAACTTGAGGAGTTTTTCCTGATCATCTATTAAGGTGGCTGAACACAGTTTTTGTACCTGTGCTTCTTTCACCATTTTCTCTAAAACCCTTGATCTCTCGGTCGCCAAAACTGGCAGCAAGCAAGTTAACAACTCAAACTTTGTTTTTTTGATAGTTAGGCTGATGTATGTGCCATTGCCATGGCAATGCGAATAAATATAAACAGGCCTTTAAATTGGTTTTGTTTATTTGTAGAAAATCTAGTCATTAGATTTTCTTTATAATTTGCATGCAACAAGCTTGTAATGATACTCACAAGTTAACACCATTTTGCTAACAATTTAACAAAGATATCTTTCATTATCCCTTGTTGAGGATTCACTTGATTATCTAGAATTTCCTTCGTTAAAAATCTTTTTTTTTTCAATACTACAGTTACCTATTTCCTAAAGTATTTTCGTGCCAAATTTCGTGAAATTCTAATGAGTGGTTCTGAAGAAATAGGCATATTTCCGAGAAAGCAATTTTCCATTCAAACACAATTTTTTTACTTACTACACATGTGCTGCATTTAACTGGGTTCTTTGGTAATGATGAAAAAGCTGAGAATTGCTAAATTCTTTGCACCGTTAACTTTTCTAACATGTCTTTATAATAAAAGATTAAAGCTATCAATACATTGCACCAACTATAGAGAAAAAAATAGCACAGATAGTGCAGGTATGCATTGAGTAAATAAAATGACTGCTCTATTGATAGCATGTTTGTTTTTGCAGTCCTTGTGCCAGCGCTGAATTGCATCAGCAAAAGTGTGTGCGAAAACTGTGTTTGGTCACCTTACTATTAATGTTTCATAGGTCTACACACAAGGGCTTTGCATTTGATTCATATTCTAACTCACCAGTAAGGTGTCCCTATGAATGTTGTTCTTCTCTGTATAGTTTTCTTGTTCTTGGCAGAAACACCAAAATCAGCTGAAAAATAAATTGCACCACACTTTAAGGAGGGCCTAACCGTCCATCCCTAGGACAGTGAATATCCTTCACACACCAAGCTTACATTACAAAACAATTTAGTTTTCATACAATGAAATTTTGTAACCTTAAAACAAGAAACCGGTAACCCTGAATAAGAAAAAGACAATTTTTCATAAGTTAAATTTGTGCCCACTTACTAAGATGAACAGAGTAAAGTCCAGGCAAGAGTCAGGTGACCCACACTGACAGATCTTACCCTTACTTCAGTAGCATTAAGTAACAAGAAGTGTTGAGCATTGCTACTAATTCATGAAAAGGATGCTGAGTTATTGCTGACCCCCCCCCCCACCATCCCTGCATTTTTTCCAAGCTTTCTCCTAGAACCCACAGATACTCATGTGGGGGAGAGAGAGAGAGAGAGAGCACTGTGAGAGTAAAGCGTCTTGCCCAAAACAGAACACTATACCTGGACCTTTTTCCATCAAGAGTCCTGTGCGCTGAAACTTTAGAACAATGCATCTTACACTAACAATTACAATGATTTAATCAAATACCAAATAACACAAGTGAGAGCACCCTTCTGCAAAATTGGACTTATTCCTCAGAGGAATTTTTTTCCCTGGCCTCCTGCAATTTACAAACACATCCTACCAAGCTTGATGTTGCCTTCATTTGTAAGTAGCAAATTTCCAGCCTTTAAATCTCTGTGGATTACTTTGTGAGTATGAAGAAAGTGGAGGCACTACAATTAAGAAGAGAAAACATAAATAAGTGGATCAAATTTTCTCCAAGCAAATTGTAAAATATTAGCTGATGTGACTTTTCAGCACCACTAAAATGAATCTGAAATTGTTTTGAAATTGCCATAGTATATTAATTTTCCACAAACTAGTACTTTAAAATGAAACTGCAGAAAAAAAACTAACTTATTAACTCTCTTTCTAATGGCATATTTTACCATGAACAAAAAATTTTAACAAAGAAATGGAAAGCTTACTAAACCTGCACTATGGCACAAGGTTTACAGATCAAACACTGAGGTTTCTGACTACTTTCAAAAATTCAGTCAGAAGACCCAAAAAAGCACAGAAAAAATGCTGTGTAAAATGATGGCCCCTAGAAAATGAGTTATGAATATAGTTTTGGCTGCTTTGGAGTCTTATAATAACACTCATCTCTAAGATGATTTAATAGAAGCAGGTAACATCCCATAAGATCTGAAACCTTAAAAAAAAAAGGCACATTCATCCTGCAAAACATTTGCTTCTAAATGACCCACAACAATTACAAGACAGTAAATTTGTTCTTAACGAGGACAACTACCATTCAGGACACAAATTGAAGTGACACTATGGTGAACTTCTTGAAACATTGTGCAGAATATCCAATTAGTATAATAAGTGAGAATACTAAAAGCCAATATCCTGTGATTCCTAGAGACATAGAATAGGCCATTTCTAAATTACCTTTGGCCTCTTTTTCAAAATGAGGCCTGAGGCTCAACCATGCATACATAATGAAAAGAATGAGTCTAATTTTTATGTGAATGAAAACTTATAATCATGTGAAAGGCTGAGTACCAGAGGTTGTTTTGAAAAAGAGGCCAACAGTAATTTGGAAATGAGCTAGTGAGCTGTCATGTCACAAATTAAAGAACTCCCCAACAAATCTGCCACATTTAAATATTGGTCCACCATTTTTTACAAGATGCATACTCTCACCAGACACTTATAGCCATGCTAAAGCAACAAAATGTCCAATCCCAACGTTACTTGTTCTTATACTTCACATATCCACAAGCAAAGAGGACACTGAACAGTAAACAACAACAACTTATCATTACCTCAAACATTTGCTTGCAGACTACTCTAATCTGTTCCTCATTTAGACCTCGCTCAAGTTCTAAAACAGAAAATAAATTACTGTCCAGTTCTGTGAAACCTTTAATTCCTGAGTAAATTCAATACATACTGTTCATTAAAACCAGTCTCTTTGAGTTCATTTGCAGTTTACTGGTCTTGGTGAAGAGGGTGAATAATTTTTTCAGTAAATCTGTTTTTATTATAACTGATTCTGTTCATTTCCATACCAAATTCCGAATGAAAATAATTTAAGTTACTTTGCAGTTACTTTGTTGTGCTTTTCAAGTAAAATCGTGGAGCCCAGTGCTTTAAATCTGTAAAATCCAGGATGTCCATCATGTGCTTTGTATGAAAAAGCTAAAATTCCTGAGTCGCCCAAGAGCAAAAGTAAGGGCCAGGGGCCACCGTGCATTGCTAGACCACAGCCTTGATACTGCAAATAACATCATACTGTCTGTGATATAATTTACTGCAAAATTCATCCAATGATTCCCCTCCCCACCTGGCCCTTTTTCATTTTCCAAACTGACATGGCCTAGTTGCTGTCCAGCTACTGTACAAAACTTGAGGTGTAAATATCTCTCATAAAGGAAATTAGGACAAACTGATGTTTATACAACACAACCTTACCAAAATACTTACCTAATATCAAATCATCTAAAGCTCCCCCAGAACAAAATTCCAGCATCATCTACAAATTAAACAGTTATGATTTCTTTGTCTACATTGTTGTTACAATCACCTAAAATATCTCTACAAAGGAAATAGTTTACCAGGTATAGCTTTAATATCAATTTTTTTTAGCACTAATTGGAAATAAAGATCCCATAGTCTGTACAAGAGCACCTGCAAATAACACTAACAGTCAATTACAAGCCTGAATTTTAGACTGTGTGCTCATATTGGGCTTTTCATAATCAGTCAAATCCTGTTACCAATTAATCAAAAGTAATCGAAACTAAGATAAATTTACAAAACTACCCAGCTGTTAATTTATTTATATTTCCATGCTTTATGTCATGTATTTGTATCAATAATCATACATACGATTAATGAATCGGACCTACTCCACTGTTATCTGATTTGTTAATAACTTCATCACAGACCAAACTGCAGAACCCTAAGTCACTTTAGTACTTAGGGTTGTGCAACTTTAGTTCATAAAAATCTATAGAAATAACAGAATGATTTCATTTTTAAGGGTAACTGAAAATTGTCTCTTGTTTTTCTCTTTTACATCTTAGAAACATTTTGCAACACAAGCTTCTAACTACTTACCCACAACTTATTTTCATGGTAGTAAGCTTCATACATCCCCACAACATGCTTGTGTTTACACTCACTCAAGATGTCTATTTCAACCATAAAGTCATCCAGTTCACTTTCATCTTTAACATCAATGATCTTAGCAGCTGCCAGAACACCATCAGTTTTGCGTTCTGCCTGTAAACATTTTAAGTGAAACAAATGCAGTAGGACAAACTGTTGGAGCTGAGTTCAACTTAGAATTGTACATCACATAGAATAAGTTAAATATATCACATGACCCAAAATGCCCCACAAAGAAAAAAAAGCAAAAAGTTTGATATACTTGTTGACTGAGTGAGAGGATGAGTCAGAAAGGTCATGACAGAGAGCCTATATTTTCGTACTTTTACCTAACTCAAACAATAAGCATTTTTCACATGAACACCACTCAATCTTTTTTCTTTCCTTCTTCTTTCAGCTTGTCGAGTTTCAATATGTAATGATGAAAAATAAACAATTTGAGTAGAAGAGAAAAATCGAGTTTCCCATCTGGAAACTCGATTTTTCTCTTCCATTTTTCAAAAGAAGCACACACAGGGCCATATCAGTCATAAGATTATTAAGTCCCACACAATAAAATCTTCATTTAAGTTCATTTTAAGAAAATATAGAAATTTGCTGCCTTTACATTGTGCTTACTTTACTACTTTGTGCAAGAGTTTTTTTTTTAAAATAAGAAGTTTCAGCTGAGATGGTTCATCTGAATCCTTACACTTGCTAAATGATCCTTGCACACATGTGCATAACTTCAATCACTAACCACCACTACATAACAACCAGGAAGATCAAGACTAAATTAACCTTCTGACCCCAAGAAGTGATAAACAAGCAACTTTCCAAACAACACCATTCCGTTATACACAAATCAATTAATGAAAATAGACAAACTTGAGCTATCTTGATATAACACCAAGTTTTCCTAACTAAGTTATAATAAAATGTATAGCAACTAGAGGGGAGAATTACAAATCAGATCTTGGAAGAGGAAATAAAAGATGGTTACCAGGCAGACAATGTTTGTCAGAAATACAATAAAAGATACTTTGTTTCAATATTTTTAGCAATCCTATTGAGGAAGCACTTTACAGCTGCCCACCAATATCATTTATGTCATGAAGACGTTAATGTGCCGACTGTAAGGGTCATACTTCGATAACTTCCTATTTAGAGTAATTACAATTTCTTGTACTTGTTAGTTCTTTATGCAGAATGCCTCAGGGATACCAATTTACATTTCAACCTGAAATAATCTTTCCAAATGGAGAGCGAGGGGATAGTTTAGTAACCTCTACTAGAGGTAATTAAAAGCTTTTTAAAAACTATTTATCTCACGCTGGATCTCACAATGCAAATTTAAGTTGACAGAAACATCGTAACAACTGCTTGGTACTGTTTGTTCAAAAAACATTGCACAAAACATCGTCAGAATAAACAAAACGTTAGGCTTTACCGTCGCATATTTCTCTCGCCGGTGAAGCTATGAACACCGA